GATGTTCTAAGTAGATGTACTTTGAGCAGAGTTTTCTTTGTAGAAAATAAAGGAGCTTACTCAGGTTTCTTGAGCATCTTTGACAAGGTCCCTCCATCCCTGGTGGCCTTCTTTGGCATTGTCACAGATAGAGAGATAGATGTCATATGTTTGGTGTTGACCTATATAGTTTGCCATAGTGACAGGTACTTCCTTTGAACAAAGGAACAGGGATGGTGGCAAAAACAGTTTCAAATAGAAAAAATTGAGTCTGTGTATAGCCACCAATTTGCTTACACTTGGCCTTCAGGGCAAAACAATGTATGCATAATCACTGATGGGTGCATATATACAAAGGATCAATGAAATTGAGCTAACAGATTAAAAAGGACAATCATGTAGCAGACATCTGAAATAATTACAATACCCTATACTGTGACAAGAAATACATCTTTGGTGAACAACAGCATCACAGTTGATCTCAGCCAACAGACCTGGGTGAGAAGTAACCTGTCAATCACTTGGTAAAGAAGTTGGAAATTTGGTCACTCAGTGAAGGGCATCTGTTTTCTTGTCAGTATTGCTTAAATGCTTCGTTGCGGGCCTTGATATATGCAGCATGAGCTGTGCCGTTTGTGTATATTTTGATGCTGTATTTGAAAACAGGTGGCAATGGTGTGGTATTGGTGTCTTGAGGACAAATAATATCATTTCCTACCATTGACATGAGCTGAATTGGAAAGGGAGTACTATAACCTGCAGATGTACTAGTGGATTCAATTGGTTGTTCTTTGGGATTCTCGGCCTCTGTCTGCATTGTCCCTTTTTCGTGCATATGGGCAGATTTGGCATGATTATTGTAAGGGGGAGGTGGGTACATGTCTCCATACAACTCCTCACCTTCCTTGTCAACTGCTCTCTGCAAGATGAGGATCTCTGCCAGTTGGCAGTTGACAGTGGTGGCATGCACAGGGGAGATAGGATTGATTTCCCTCAGCATGTCTTCTAGTTGATCCAGACGGTGTTGTATGGATGCAAGCTGTCCCTCCCTGGAGAACTGTCTGTTCATCATCACTGATGAATGTGTTCCTCCATTGTTCCATGCCAAATCCGCATTCCTGCTGGGAACAGGACTGACCAAGGCAGGAGCTACCATATGCATCCGGTTGTAATCTGTGACAGGCTTTGAATAGTGCTCTTCACTTCCCTGGCCAGATGTGCTGGAAGTGCAAACAGAAGCTGCTGACATGTTGTTCAGGGATACAAAGACATTGACATAAGATGGCTTGTTCCCTGTTAGCCTGTCCATGCCCATATGACTTGGAGACCAATTATTGTACATAGAAGTACCATCAGTGTCAGGGTTTGTATTTTGTTTGGGAGTAAAGTCCACTCCACACTGGCTCTCATCTTCTTTGAGCTCTGCAAGGCTAGGCTTGGGGGAAGGGGGCTCATTCAGATGGTTACATAACGAAGTGATTGATATCCAGTCACTGTGATAAGGCTGTTTGTCTATGCAGTTTGCAGGTGCTGTGTCAATTTCAGCCTGGCATAGTGGTGGCATAATGACCATACCATGAAGTGATGAGCTGTCTGCACCTTCAGCAGTAAGACAGTGGCAGGGCAGCTGTTTACTAATTGTTTTAGCTGTTTGCATAGGATACATTTCACACTAAACAAGCTGCGTGAGTGTATATAGGGGCTGTAAGTATGTCATCATTACTGATGTAAGGTTTGTTTGCAAGCTTTTGCAATGACAAGAATTGTGGGGAGATGTGTACAGTGGACTTGATGAAGGCAAAGGGAGTGATAGGAGTGTGGGCAGGAGGATGTGATATAGGAGGGTTTTGACTCCATATGCTGTGGTGTCAGGTGGATAATGCCATGTGATTTATTGACACCCTTATCAACTAAGGTCTGTTTGTTGTTATGACTTGCAAATTTCATTTACTCCTTTAACTGACTCGGCCTTCCCATGGATGCAAGAATAAGCATGTGGTCTGTCAGTATGAACTTTATTTGTATATCTTGCAGAAGAAAAGAGGTTATATCATTTGCTTATGGTAATGTATGAGCATGAATCCATGTTCTACAGCAAGAAAATAGCTGACATCAACTGTAGCTAGACATTTTTACTCATCCAGTGTTTGACTGGAGGGTTTCAATTGAACAGAAGGTGTTCAACTATTTGGATGGGCTGTTTGTATACTGGAGAAAGTGGTGTTAGGGATTTCTGTCTCTCAAGCACATTAATTGTATCCACCAACTCAGCCACAATATTCCCTTTCTCTTTCATCTATAACCACCACCATGAACACCCTCTCTACATTGAAGAAGTTTTTCTTGCTTTCTAGGGTCAACAATTGTGAAGTAGAACTTCTCCCTACTACAGCTCCTATGACCACAAATATGGCAGGAGAAGATTTCATCAATCCAGACATTGTTCAAGCATTGACTTCTACCTCCCATCTACATGGTTTGCTTCATTATGGTCCACCACTAAGAAGCATCAGACAAAACAAAAAGGTCCTTTGCTCCCTATGACTTCCTTTACTCTGACAGTCTACAACCCTTTGACAATGGCAAGTGCTCTCCTTGACTCTCTCACTTAGAACATTACTGCTCTCTTGACCCTTGCAGCCAACAAACTCACAGCGATGGAAGGTGGACCCAGCATCAAGGCAGAACAGCAAGATGGTGCAGATGATAGAGTTGGCACATGTCAGGAGTTTGACAGAAGGGCTTTGGGTGGGGATGGACAGTGTTGCGAGCCCGTTTCATTGGTTACAATGGCTGGCAAGGGTGAGAGTGAAACAGTGCATGCCTTGTAGATCCAAAATACCATAGTGCTGACCCAGCCCTGCAGCATATATTGATGAATCAGGAGCCTGTTGGTCGTGACGCCTTATCATATTGGAGTCTGCAACCTGCAGATGTCTGTGTCATCCACAAAAATCAGACTCAGATCACTCAGCATTCAGCTATCCACCTCATTGATACTGTTTATGGAACTATATGAATGTTCGGCAAGAGTGGTTGGGATGTCATGGGATGCATTAGGATTTGGTGCTGGCAGATTCCACCTTGGGCCAGTGGAATATGTTCATGCATGCATCAGCAAGGTATCAACATCTGACTTGTCTGCTTGTCTCTCTCCAGGTCAATCATTATGATCATTGTGCTGTCTGTATGCATCACTGCTGAGGTTGTCCACCATGGAGCAAACTTTCTCTGGTGCTATAGGGTTATGGTAGTGGCCATTGTTGGTGAGTTCTTCTCATATATGGTTCAAGTATATATATACTAATGGAACATCTAGTCTTTGTCATTATGATGGTTAAAGTATCTTGGCCAAAGTATCTGATGTATCCATGGTGAAACTTCTTATAGGTGTTCTGAAGGCAATACCAGAGTTCTTGAAGTGGGGAGGAGCTCTCTAAATGTAACCTCTAGGCAGTGAGGTTCATAGTATCTCTATATTCTCTCTTCTATCATTACTCCTTGTCTCTTTAGCTTACAGCATAGCATACAAAGGAAGTTTCAATACCAAGTTAAAATGTCTGCTATACTATAATACAGGTGTATAGTATACTACTTAGTAAAAGCACCTGCAGACAAGAGCTAGGGTCTTGCCAGTGCTCAGCATGGCCCCTTTCCTAGTACATATGTATGTATCAGTGGTGTATGGCATCGAGCCTTGGGGTGGTGTTCAGCTGATCTCACAAAGACTAGTCTGGAAAGACTGGCCCTGAGCATGCACCACAAGTCCCTGAGTTTTGGATGAAAGCCTTCCTTTCCCTTAGTTGTGTATCTGATTGAAACATCTTCACTCAACAGCTTCAACACCAGTTTGATTCTATTATACCTGATTTTTTGAGTGCCATCTGAAGCCTAAAACCAGTAACAGAACAATTTTCTCTTACCTTAAAGTTTATTCTTTTGACTCTTGGATTGAGCTTGTCACTTTGGCCATGTGCTTCAGGGTCACTCTGGAGTCTGCACCAGCTGAATCTCTTGGGAGGCCACATGGAAAATTATCATTTGCAAAATACCATCCAGTGCTGCTCCTATGTCAGTACCTCAATTGCATGGACATGAAACCATGCTCTGTGATTCTTATTGGCCACAGCAAATTTTGTAATCAATGCAAGATTGAAAAGCTTGCTGCCCAATCCAAACAATTGACATCCCCTGGCCTACACATGTGAAAGCTGCTGTTGGGAGGCTGGAGTCATACAAGGTTTGCCCAGGCAGACAACTACTTTTGCTCCAGAGAGGAGCCTCTTGTTTGTCAAATTTTTTCAAATTCTAAATCAACACAAGCCTTTGGTTAGGGATACTGTTGCAAGGAGCCAGAGTGCAGGCTGATCGTGACACAAGAACTGGAAATCCTGGTAAAGCCAATCATTTCTGATTGGCTGCTCCTGAGTTTCATGGCCCAATATTATTATATGCAATTCATATGCTTATGATATGATAAAGCTGTCCATTAATGAACTGTCAGACATCAATAAATGCTCGCTTGCCAACTGTTATTTATTGCTGTAGCATTTGTTCACTACTCTCAAATAGTTTCCGAGACTTCTTGGTAACATTATTATAATTACAGTATTTCTAGGACCTCGTTCCATCTTAGTCCGGAGCACCGGCAATTCTATGCGATTTCTTCCCGTCCTTGTGTCGTCCTTCCCTAGTCCCATACCCGAATCATCAACACGCGTTCATCCATGTTACTTTCTCAGTTTGTCGACTCGTAACAGGTTTCTGGGAAGAATAGCCTTCCCCTGAATCACGCGGACGAATGAAGAAGATGACCGCAAACCCATGAGCTGGTCAGAAGGATCACCAGGGCCTTATTCGGATGCGTCAATCTTCTGGCCTGTTTTCGTATGGCTCCATCGAAGCAGCACTTGGAAACACGTTCTTCGTATCAGGATCTTTCTTGTTCGACCTGTGACTTAAAACCAGGCACGTCTACCAGTCTCAAGTTCGCCTCGGGTCCCCCTCCAATTCTGCTTCCCACCTTGACTTACCAAACGCGACTTGAGACCTCAGTCAACAACAATGTCCCGAGACATTCGCCATGACGTGGTTTTTCTCAACGATTTGGCACCCGTGCCGTCTCATGTAACCCGCTGGGAGCGCATCAGATATCGGGATGCCCACTTGTTAGTACAATGTCTAGCCGAAGCGGTGCGCGCGAATGTTATCGTTTTCTCTCCTTGACTGATCGGTCCAGATGGGCACCTTCCTTTATTGTTTCTGTGGCATTGGCTCTCAAGCGGCAAACACCACTGGGAATATTAACAAACTTGCTGGACTGGGATGTGCGTCGCCTCCCGCTGGCAGCTGTATCCGATACTTATCAGCGTCCCAGCCGTATTGCAGATCGGGTTTGCCTATGCGGTGGGTATCATGCTCGCCCTTCTCATTGCTGGACCGACATCGGGAGGTCAGCATCTTCTCTTCCGTGAATCTTCAACTCTTAATATCAGTTTAGGTCACTTTAACCCATGCGTAACGATCGCAAACATTGTTTTTCGAGGGTTTCCTCTCCGAAAGGCACCTTTCTACATCGTCGCCCAGATCCTGGGTGCCTTCGTCGCTTGCCTCGTGGTGTATCTTCAGTATCGAGATGTTATCCTCGTACGCATCGGCTGATCATTCATTTTACATTTAATGAGCTTGGAACAGCAAATGGAAGCCGGATTAGCTGCAGCCGGGGAACTTGATGCCATCAATTTCACTGCTCAAGGACCCGCTGGCATATTCGGACTCTATGTCACTCCTGGAACCAATCTTGGCATTGTCTTCTGGAACGAATTCAGTTGTGATTTTATCTTGGGTTTGGCCATTTGGGCATGCATCGATCCGACAAACTTTTTCGCCCCACCGGCCATGGCGCCTATGATTATTAGCGTTACGTACGCAACTATCATCTGGGGTTTCAGCCCAATCGGACGTACGTATATTCCATTGTAATTCCAATACACTTGCTCATATGCTTGCAGTTGCGGCCAACTCTGCAAGGGACGTCGGGGCCAGGATAATGGTTCTCTGCATCTGGGGCACAAAGGCTGCCGGTGGACCGTACGCCGCAATCGCTGCTTTGGCAAATATTCCGGCCACTCTGCTTGCCGCTGCGTTTTACGAATATGTCTTCAGGGACTGCGATCGAGGTAAGCGACACAGCTTGGGCCTTCCATTTGCATTAATCCAAGGCGATACATATAGTTGTACCAAGTGCCCAACGCGAATACTTTGGGGCGATGGATTCTTATGCCAAACGCAAGGAAGAGGGCCCGACTTCGTTTGTATCATCCGACCCAGAACTCCCTATCGTAGCGAGCAGCGAAGTCAAGGGGTGAGACCGAATGGTGCCTCCGGATACCAGGACCTGCATGGATGCATATGTTATCTCGCGATCGATCCTTAAGCTTCATGACGATAACTGTTCTGCTGTTGTATAATGCATTACTTCTTTTTGTAAGGCCGTGCGAAAGAGTTTCATAGCCAGATGGCTCGACATCGGCGGATGAGGGATTTGGTTCTAGCGCCCGCCTCGAAAAGGGTCTCTTCCACTGACAACGATTGACTAACGGTTTCTGGACAATGGCTTCACCCCGTGCAATCCTAAAGGCTGAGTCACCATCTCCGATCTCCGCCTTTCGCAAATCAATTTCCGCTTTTGCCGCCACACCTCATAGCTTGCGGCGTTCCACGCGAAACCCCAAAACCTCATCCGATGAAGGACATGTAACACCACCTCGATCACTCACTAAGCGACGCTTCGAACTGCTCGAGCATGAGGAGGAAACAAGCAGTCCAAAGAGGAGGAAACGGTCCCTGAACAAGCGTGGATACGCTAGTCCTGACACGTACGCCCATCTGGGATTGGTGCATGATTACCTGGGCTTTGGCTTGGATGGTTCGTGCAGGCGTTGTTGCCCTCCAATGATGGTCTGACGCATGGTATAGTCCTGTTCTGCGGTATCAAGCATGTGCTTCTTGATGTCAATCTGAACGTTTTCTGACATTACACCAGTCCGGGGGTGATGTCCGCAGCGACAGGTCATCATTTTGCAAACCCCACAAACCATTTCTGGCGAGCGCTCCACCAAGGCGGCCTAGTCTCCCGCTTCGTACCCGCCTCAGAAGACCACACGCTCCCGGAGAAGTATAATCTCGGAATAACAAATCTGGTTGAGCGACCATCCATCGAGGCTGCCAAATTGTCCGCGAAAGAGATGACAGCTGGCGTGCCGGCATTCTTGGCGAAAGTCAAGAAATGGAGACCGAGGATCGTATGCTTCGTGGGCAAAGGAATCTGGCTAGCGGTGAAAAACCATCTGGATGAGATTCTTCTTGTGTCGTCTTCTTTGCCGGATGAGGAGGCAGATGACAAAAAGTTGGCGGGGATTAAGAACGACGTAGAAGAGGAAGTGAAGGTTCCAGACCCGACGATAACGGGAATGTTGGCTTCGAAACAAATAAAGCGGCATAAGAAAACGACAAAACGAAAAGACACTTTCGAATACGGACCACAACCTTATTTGCTCCTGCCATCTCCGGAGCCCGCCCGGGTCCATACGATGGACTGTACTGCTCCGATCCATGACTCTGGTGTCGATCCTGCTATGGCGGTTGTGAAAAAAGAAGAGGCCCTTTCGTCAATAGACCCAGCCCAGACCGCAATCCAAGAGACGCTCATTTGGGTAATGCCGAGCACATCTGGACGAGTTGTGTCTCATCAGGTGCGAAAATCAGTTGCAATCCACAAACGTAATCTGACCATTGTTGGATGGCAGCTTGTAGACAAAATCCGGCTCTTTGCACAATTGAAACGAAACGTAGAATCATCTAAGGAAGGAATATTGGACATATCACAGTGCAGAGTTGTACAAATCTGACCGGATCCGATAGAATCTAGCTGTCTTCATATTTTGTAACTGCTTATGTTCGTCAGCAGGGAGCCTATATTGATTAGCGTTCTTACTAAATACAGTATGTATACAACTGGAAGGGTCCATAAGGTTACCAGATTTCCTCAAGAGATCGAATATCACGAAGAATAGTAATTGTATCTGTGCCAATCTGTTTCGTAATGGTTGCCTGTCGGCGAATGTCGAGCTCGCGGAACGCGTGGAGCAAGTCATAATCTAGCATGCCCTTGTTGAGTGGTCGAGATAGAAGATCGTTGCGGACGGTACGGAAGGCACGTGGATTGAGACCAGCAAAATGTTGCACGCTTCGCATAAGCTGACCAGACAAGAGCTGCAAGCGCTTGAAGCATTCATCTGGTACTGGCGAGATCGTACCTAATGTGCCGTCAATGGTGCCAAAGATGAGTTGGGCTTCGGGAATCTGCATCTCTTCGGGATCTTCCCTGCCTCGGCCCGCGATAGCGAGGATGTGTGTATGCTCTGACTGACCATTGAATTCGGTTTCGCATATCAGCGGGTTCCCATGAGTTGCACCGGTCACTGAGACAGCAAAATTCAGCCTTTGAAAAGTGTCGAGCTGGCAAACTTACGATTCGGGTCAAATTCGAACAACCGAAGAGTACCTTCGTCGTCGGCAGCAAGGATACTGAAGTCACCCTCGTCGAAGAGGAAAGCAGCATCCGTTACATAAGTAGGCCGCTGATCACGGGCGAGGCATACCAGTTTGAAAGGATCCTCTTGGAAAGCAACGAAGGATACACTACGCTTCGCGTCACCAATTAAGAGCAAGTTTTTCAAACGCGTGAGGCTAGTAACGCAGACGCCTGCGTCCATGAATGCGACGCCCACAAGCCTTTCGTCTTGCTCGAAAGCTCGGACGAAGACCTGCAGATCTGTTAGTACATCGTTCACAGTGCGCGGGGCGGATCTGTACCTTGAAACCTTGAGAAGAGACGAGATAGCCATTCAGACCACATATTGCATTGACGGGAGCCTTTGCTTCGTCGCGACACAAGAGTTTCAACCGATACGGAGGCAGCGGATCATCCGGATACGAGACCACCTCGATGACCTCGAAAATATAGGTCTGCTGCAGTATGAGCTCTATCGCGGAGATGATATATGTTTACGTACTGCACCCCGAACAGCGAGATCCTCCCCTCTAAATGTAGACGTGCCCACCGCAATATAATCCTTGAAACCGCTTTCCGAACTTAGCGTCTCCAAATTGACACTCTTGACAACGTTGATGAATTCGTTTGGAGCAAAATCGTAACTGATCATTCATCAGGTACAGCTTCGTTGACAACCGTATACTGCCGCTCACCCATCCAGTGTCTGGCATGTATCCGGCGAGACTAGCTCCAGTGACGAGCATTCAGCCATCGGGCCAAAGAGTGCGGTAGCTGTAGAGCTCTCAGTACAGTCCTATGAACGGCTATACAGTCAACCTACATTCCGGTACCCATAAGGGCTGCTCTTCATCGTCATAAAGCAAGAAAAATGACTTTAACGACGAAGCAGCAGCCACAAGATTACTCCCAGGATCCACGGCCATCGATGTGTACGATCTTTTTGAATGGATATGCCGGCAAGACAGCTCTCGCCCCGTGTCTGGCTCTTCATCAAATTCCATAAGCACTGGACCCTGAACCATTATCAGGATGAAGATCGAACGTTGTCTCACGAAGCATTACCTCTTCTCCGTAAAGGATGAAATCGCCACTATTACCAAAGAGAGAAGTCGGAGTGAATGAATAAACGAGTGGACTGGAGTATGCAATGATCTGCAGACCGTTTTGGCGACTCGCCATGATCCAACATGGCTCTTCTCCGCGCTGGAAAACTGCACTTGTGCCACCCTTAATGTCTGAGATGAAAGGTATCAGAGCCCGTCGAGAAGGTAGCTGCAATCTCCGAGCTTCCGGCAACATCTGCCGAATGGCAGCATGCTGCTCTGCATCCGCGAAATGGGTCGCAACCTTCGTGAAACGATATTGGAATGTGCTATCCGCTTCCGTTGCCGTTCTCGGTGTCGCTTCATATACCGCCAGGCGTCCTTCGGTGTAGTATACCTAATCCGACATGGTGAGCGGTGGACAAAATGCTAGGTGCCCTGCATACCAGGAGATACAGCGATACACAGTCATCGCCTATCGGGCAGAGAACGACATCTTCAACCTGCAATGGAGCGATGTTTATCATCTCATCTGCACCTTCCTCAGGCTCAGCTGCGGCTGCTGCGTCATCCAGCACTGTTCTGCATTCAGACAAGAGCCTTGTGCTAAAGGCCAGCGTCATCTTCGGCAATGACCAGATCTGGAACATCAAAGTCATTACCAGATCTCTCGCATAGAATGCCACAACACACCTCCAGCCTTCCATTCGCGTTATAGAGTAAAAGCCATTGTGACACAGTAGGTCCCTGGTCAACTTCTTTTCTCTTCTCCGATTCATGTCTTCTCCCAGCTCTCTCCTTCTCCTTACTCTCCTTCTCCGCGCTCTCACGATGTCTGTGAGATCTGCTATCCTTAGAGGTGCCATTTTCCTTCCCGTCTTTCTCACGCCCATCTTTGGAGTCCCTGTGTCGTCTGCTGCTTTCTTTGGTATCTCGCTTTTCGTCCCGTCGACTGCGCTCCTTGTCTTTGTCTTTGTCCTTGTCCTTGGATCTCTCCCGTTCCCTCTCCCGAGACGCATGAGGCCTTTCCTTCTCCTTGACCCTCTCCCGCTCCTTCTCTCTCGCCGAATGCCGCCCTGATCTCCCAGAGCCAGGCCCAAAACCATTTTCCTCCCTCCGATCATGTTCCTCGACCTTTTCGTCCGAACTTCGCAGCCGTCGACGTTTGCTCTCCGGCTCGATCGAAATGTGCTCCTCCTCCTTCAGGGCATCCTCCACAGCATCCAAGGACGAAGCTCGCCGTTTGCGCAGGTTAATAGTAGGTTCCTCAACATGCGGCGCAGGCAACAGGTCCTTATAATCCGTGTAGATCATCGCCGCAGCATACGTCGCCGTCTGCATATCGTCAACTATCATCCCAATTCAGAAAAAATGAAACTTACCTTTTCCCTATGCGCAGGCAACCCCTTGTACCTTAGTCTCCTCCTCCCCGGATCACCCAAATACAGCGCCACACTGCCATTCTCACGGGTCACCACGACCCAAGGATCTTCCACGCACGCCTTGATAATTGGAGACGCCTCTTTATTCCCCTCATTATCCTTAAGCACTTGAAGCTCCTTCCCGTCCCCGTCCAGGAGATGAAGCGAATCCGGCGTGACTTGCATGACGCATGTGTGGGAGAAGAACACCCCTGCGGCGAGGGTGAGTGCCGGGAGACGGGAGATGATCTGCAGTTCTCCACGCGAGTCGACCGTGATCGTCTACAAACATTGCTATCAGTGCACCATACTACCACCGCAGCTAATTCGCTGACCCTAGAAATCCCCGGGGAAGGCGTAGCATCCGTGCTAACAATCAGGTTGTCCCTCTCCTCCCCGTCCGCCCACTCCCTCTCCCCCCGTTCCCTCCTTCCACCTCTGCGCGCTCTGTCCCCCCTCCTAACTCTCAAGCTCCAAATGCCCCTTGTCCCCGCCACCGCCGGAACCCGCCTCTTCACCCTGATAGGCAGGCCATTCTCATACACCGTCCATGCGCCTCTTTCCCCTTCCGGTGTAGAACACACCAGCTTGGGCGTGGGCCTGTCCGGGCCTGAGCGGAATGAGAGGGCAAAGCTCATATCCGCGATTTGGCCATGTCCTTGGAGCGCATCCAGCACTTCCAGGGTGAGCCAAGGTAATGCCGGTCCGGCAGTTACGCCCGACGCAGCGGCAGCCGGGAGTCCAGAGTCACCATAGATGTCCGCAAGGTCGTCGTTCTTGTCTGAATCAGCGTCGATCTCCATATCCTCGCCTTCGATCTCCTTCTCTTCTCCGTTAGGTTTGACCTCCTCCACCCGTGGCTCACCCTTGTGCACCTGGAGGAGGACACTTTGTCCCGCCTCACTGGCAAGCCATACCAGGTCCCTGCCGGTAGGCTTCAACGCCCGCCCAGACTGTTCCCCAACAGGACACAAGACCGCCGGAGCACTCGTCCGACCCAGCCTCCGCCCCGCACTCAAAGAACTCACGTTCCTCCCCTCCACACCAACCTTCAGCTCCCTGGCCCACCCCTGGGCGCCAACGAGGATCAACTGCTGTTCCCCCGCCCAGCAGAGCCGGGATCCCTCAAGCTTGCGCTCCTCTGTCTCCCCTTCCTCGGCAGTGAATGCCCAGAGGGGGAAGCGGAGTGCGCTCGATTGGGCGTGCCACCCGCTCGCGGCGAGACCGACAATTCGGCCTGCAGGATCGACGTGTAGCACGCTATTCCCAGCTAAGACGACGACACCGCCGAAGGTGCTGCCTTCCCGGGCGGGCAGGAGGGAGAAGGCGTCGTACGGCAGACCATGGGTACGGGAGATTACTGCTCCTCCTCCTCCCGCTCCCCCTCCGGCCGCAGCACCCTTGCCCACCAGGTCGAGGGTGACAATCGCCAGGGAAGTATTGTCTTTCGTCTGGCTTAGCCGGCCGGTCCAGTTCTGGGCAGGCTGGTAGAGGATCGCGAGAGTAGGCGTGTGAAAGGAAGGGAGGAAGCAGAAGTCCAGCACATGACGGAGGGTATCGTCCGCGTCTGAAAGTGGGAAGACGTAGGACGGCGTGTATGGCTGATGTTCCCTTTCCTTGTCTCGGGCAGGATCGGCCAGGTCGAGCCCCGTGCGCTGGACGAAGGGCAGGATGGCGAGCGCGTCTTTTGGCAAGAGGAGGGCGGCGCACCGAGATTCGGGGTCGGCGCGGAGGAGAGGACGGTGCTCGGATGCCTCTGATGTTGAGACTTGAGAGGAACGTTCGTATGTATGTAGCGAGACTGTTGAGAGGTCGTATATCGCGTCGGACCATTCAAGCAGGGCGATCTGAGCGCCGATTTGAGTAAGGATTAACTGATAGGGCCAGACGAACCTTGGCATCTTTGAACGAGACGAGCAGCCTGTCCATCCCGTCTTCTCCGCTTGCGAGTGTACGCACCTTCTCCAAGCCGGTGACGAAGCCGTGCATCCGGTGTTCGCGCACGAGGTGAAGTCGCGTTCGTACCGCAGCCTGGCTTACCGTCAGCTCACTGTGGGTCGCAAGAATGAAATAGGATGTCGACGCGTAGAAGCATGCATTCACGTATGTGCGCGAGATACGGAATTGAAAAGTAACATTTACCTTCGAGTCACCGTTCACGCCATTCAGCTTTTCCTTGTCTTCCAGCTTCTCCTCGTCTTCCAGCTTCACTTGATCCCCAGTCGCCTCCTCTCTCAGATCTCCCTCCTCTTTAACATCAAACACCCGGAGCAAGCTGCTCCTCGCCACCACGAGTTGGCATATTGTCCTTTCTCGGCCTTTTGACGAGTTCCGCTGTTTTCGTGGTGGGATGAGTTGAAGAGAAACGGCATGGGATATACCAGAGGGTGGGATGATCTCGCGTCTTATCGCGTGCATCTTTCCCCTTTTTATACCTCTAGCTCTACGCTGTCCACAGGCTGTATAGATGCCTTTATTTCTGAATGGGACGAGGCCAGGGTAAATTGGTCGATACGAATATGCTCACACAGGGAACAAACAGTGAAAGGAATGCCTCCGTACGGGTTCAATATAAAGTTTGTCCCTGTGGCTGACGGGCGCTTACTTGTCGTCATATATTTCAGTCATTTCATCTTGATATCTCACATAACTCAATTTCGTCATATAGTTCACCTTTGTCTGAAAAGTTGTCAAAGACACAATGCCCTTTGGGGAGATAGTAATCGGCTCTCCTGGTAGTGGAAAGAGCACCTACGCCTATGGGAAATATCAAGTGCGCCAGTCCTTCCCTTTACACTCTTCTGCTCACCCTACCAGCTCTGTACCGCCCTCCACCGACCTATCGCAGTAGTCAACCTCGATCCAGCGAACGATCACCTCCCATACCCATGTGCCATCGACATAGCCTCTCTCATCTCCCTGCAGGATGTGATGGACACGTCTGGCCTAGGGCCGAACGGGGCGCTCATATACTGTATGGAATACCTCGAGCAGAACTTTGACTGGCTAGAGGAGGAGCTTGCGAAGCTAGAAGAGGGGACATGGGTCGTGTTCGATATCGCGGGACAGGTGGAACTTAGCACGAACCACGAGAGCTTGCGGGAGATCGTCGAGCGACTGCAGAAGCTCGGCTACCGAGTAAGCTTAAAGTTTCTCACACGCGTTCGCCTGTCTTGATCAGTGACACAGTTAGCAGCTGTGCACCTCTGCGACGCGCACTACGTGACAGACGCAAGCAAGTACATCTCCGTGCTCCTCCTCAGCTTGCGCACTATGCTCCAGCTCGAACTCCCGCACATCAATGTCCTCTCTAAAGTCGACCTAATTACACAATACGGCGATCTTCGTATGTGCTTTGATTCATATACCTATCTCTTCCTCTCACTGCCTTTCCCTCCTGCTTGGGTCAGTTGCTGACCTATGTTGGTAGCATTCAACCTCGACTTCTACACAGAAGTGCAAGACCTGTCCCACCTCTCCCACCAGCTCTCCACACAGCCTGGAGGGCAAAAGTTCGCTTCCCTAAACGAAGCGATCTGCGAGCTGGTGGAAGACTTTGGCCTAGTGGGGTTCGAGACGCTCGCTGTGGAGGTGCGCGCCTATGCTCTACGTGACGGGGTGATATGTCAGTGGGCTGATGTGAGCCAGGACAAGACGAGTATGCTCCGACTTCTTCGAGTGGTGGACAAAGCCACAGGGTACATATTTGCCCCTCCTCCCGGCTCACACGACCCCTCCTCCACCCAAGCACCAGACAGCCACACTCGCTCTACCTCTGCGCCAAACACGGACGCCCTCTTCTCCAGCGCTTTCAGTTCCCTTCCGGGACCGGGAGACGTTAGGGACGTACAGGAACGGTGGGTTGACGAGAGGGAGAGATGGGATGAGTGGGAGCGGGAAGAATGGAGGAAGGAAGGGGAAAGTGTTGCGCGGAAGAAGGCGGGGCGGGAGCTGAGGGAGAAGGAAGCTGAGAAACGCGCGAAAGAGCAAAATAAGCCGGGTAAGCCCGTCGCAAATGCGGGCCAGGAGGGAGGTTTCAGCGAGATGCGAATACGAGATCGGACACAGGCTTGAACATGTCCTCATTCGAATGGCACGCGTGTAGACTACATTCCAAATTTGTTCAATTACTCATTGTACTACTGCATCATCGAAACAACCTGAAACAGCCCCTGCATATCCAATACATCATACATTGTCGGTCTTTGAATCTCTGTCTGTTCTCTGCATGGTGTGCGGTGCGCCATATAAGGTGCAAGTCATTCTGCCCGCTGTGGGTGCCTAATCTCTCTCGCGCTTGTCACCAAACAAGTTGTGTCTCACCTGCCTCCCTCCCCCGCCCCCATCGAGTGTGCTGCCGCGCCAACTGAACGACCCCATCACCCCACCTCCATTCTGCACAGACTGGGCCGCGGCTGCCGTAGTGCCGAATTCCCTCGAAGGGCCAGAGTGAGAGTGGCTGCTAGACCCAGTATGGGCATGTCCGCTCGAGGCGGTAGTGTTCAAGGTGATATACTTGCCCGGATTGGGCCAGTCGTCCGTGTGATACTATAATCGGGTCAGAATGCATCTTTGTCGAACTGGGGGGAACATGCCTGGAATTCCAACATCAGCCCATTTTCCTGCTCGATCCCCAACAGGTCGGCCATCCTCCGCCCCAAAGCGTTCACCTTCTCCACATCGTTCCTCTCCCTGAGCCACAGCTGGATCCTATCAATCCGACTGCGCATGCTCACCACACAGCCCGTGACTTCATCGTTCGGGTCGAGCGAGAGCTCTCCCACGAGGGACATGAGAATTTCCGTCCAGCATTTATCCAGGTAGCTCGGATTGTTGCGCATCGTTAGCACCCATTTGCCACCCTGCATTACACGTCAGCGGCGCTGCAGAGGGACCACCATGCGACTGACATTGCTGTTCGCTTGATCCTCCCACATGGGCTTAATCCCATTCTTGAAGAAATGATAGTTGCATCCCCTGTCAAGCTTGCTGGGCGGCTTGCACCAATTCCAGTACCTAGCAAATGCCTCCACAGTAGAGATTTCGCCGATCACATGCAGGTTCGCCTCATAGTCGTCCTTCGCAATAGGGCTGGGCTCGACCGCCGCAGGCGTAGTAGGGGAGAAAACACTTGCCGTACCGCTGCTCTGGGGGAACTCTGCTGTAGTCGGTGCACTAGACCGAGGCACTTTGCTGTCGTAGAACCAGACCCAATGATGCAGAAGCGGATGTTCGTCCTTCTTCCGGCTCGGCTTTTCTTTAGCTTTAGGCTGTGTTGGTGTCTGGTCTGCATCGCTTTTTGCTGCAGGGACCTCAACAATCTCCCCCTCTTCTGCCTCCGACTCCCCCGCTTCGCTGAGAGCATCGGCCAGAGGGCCCATCGCGTACGGCCGCTCGCCATCCTGAAGGGGTTCTACAATACGACGCACAGACTCCCGGGAGTGGGGGCGAGACTGATCCGACGAGTAACCGGAAGAGAAGTGGGAATCCTCATCGGAGACTGTGGACGGCGGATGAGCGTGCGACCGTTCTCGAAGAAGGGCAAGCCGAGAGGAGATCGCCTCTAGCGAGGGGACGTTCTTGTATCCTCTAGGGCGCTTCCCGCCTTTATCCTTATGCTCTTCTCCCGCTTCAGAGCCCTGATCAGATTCCTCCTTGAAGGCCCCGCTTACGCTCTTTGCTGTAGGCGGGTGCACGGCTACGGCGAGGACAGGACTTAGAAGAGTGCTGCTACTAGTGGTCGTAGTTGCTGTGTCGGGAACTTGGGGTGGATATGGATGGCTGGGGGAAGTTTCTGTGGAAGACAAGCCGGCACGCGCCCGCAATGTCTGTGGCAGACGCAGACGTGAGCCAGCATTGGTTGGCACAGTTGTCGTAGCACCCGGCCGTGGAGTGATATCGCCGCTGGCAGCGACTTCAGGTTTGATCCTGCACAGTTAGATGTAGATACAATGTGTGAGCTCAAAGAAGGGACACGCACTTTGCAATCAACTGATCTAAGGTTGGGATCTTGCCGGACTTGGTGCGGTCATGGCTATGGTCATCTGAAGCAGCCTCCTCAGCTCTGCTGTTGTCGGCGTTGTTTGTGGTAGGCATAGCTGTATGTAGATGGACAATGTAAAGGAATGAAGATGAGGAAAGAGATGATGAGAGGCAAGCAAGTAGCCTAACAATCAATAGGCCTGTCATCGCCCCTCGCGACGCCCTGTAACACATCATGGAATGCAGTGCGGGGCCTTAGTTGAAACGAAATGATCGCTGCTTTTCAAACTATTTTTATCTGATATTATTTAACCAGGATGTTGGCATTCCTCGATCAAATGGAATGGATTCGTTTGGACGATCTGCTTTCACGAATGCCTCATTGTCGCCTCATGGCTTCCACATCCCGTCCATCAATTACTGAATCTCCTCAATGTGGTCAATCCAACTCCAAAGGATAGGAGAGAGACACGCGTCCCTCTGGTGTTCACAAAACGTAATCGAATGAACCATAAATCTGCTATCCTTGTGTCTACTCAATGATCTCTCCACTGTATAAAGGCGTGCCGCTCTGCCTGGATTGCATCCTATTTCCCGATTCTTGCAAGGACCTTAACCTCAAAGAGCGCGTCACAGTGATCTCGAAGCATCTGTTCAGTTGTGATGCAGTGGTACATCATTTTGCAAATGGCGCAAACAACACTGTTCGTCGCCCTTTCACAATACCCAACCTTCTTATGACTGTTCCACAGGTATATCTGGTGACATTGGCAGAGTCACGTTCTTTGGACATTCCAGCCACAATCCTGTGCCGGGTCTCACTCAGGCGAAAGACCGATTCGTGTCTCTCATTGCAATCTGAGGTAGACACGATGAGATACGTGTCAGAGATGACGGATATACCGGTCCCTAAGGTGTATGCGTACTGTACAAATGGAAATGTGCTTTCTGATACATATATGTTCCTGGAGCATATCGTACGTGAATTTAAGACATCTCCAGTTCGAAATCTTACGTTTCTCAGACGCAGGGCGAAAAGATTGAAGACGCATTCGAGTTGCTAGATGAAGAAGGCAAAGCCCGCGTCATCCGAGAATACGCCGGTGTTGTATACAACCTCTCCCAACTGCGCTTCACCCACATCGGCTCTTTACGACGTACAGCAAATTGTGAGTACGAGGTTGGAGGATCCTCGATAATGCGATCAAATCATATCGACTGTATTCATAATCACCTGCACGAGCGGCTTTCACGGCCGTTCTCCTCCGTAGTGCCTTGGCTGCTAGCCTTGGAGAAATCCGAACTTCGCTTTGTGCAACAACATCCTGAGCGAGTGAACGAAGCCAGCTCGCTCTTTGGCAACTTACCAGTCGAGGAGGTTAGCGCTCTCGTTATTTCTACCATGCGCCAAGTCATTCGGGCGATACCAACAGCGTGTGAATCTGGGCCATTATCTCGAATCTTCTGTCTTTGGCACCACAACCTCATGGCTGGGTGAGATTATTGTTTTCGGTTGACGCCAAGCTAACCCCACGCCATAGCAACATCATTATCTCCATCACTCCACCCAACGCCGGCAAGATATTAGGAGTTATTGGTTGGGATAGCGCACTAGTGACACCGATATGGAGAGTGATCAGCCGGTCGGACTTGGTCTCCATCCGTGGCGGTAGCGAGTACAGGCCCGATGCAGACACTCCTCTATTTCAGGAAATCCTGCGCAAAGAGCTTCTCGAGCTTGACTCTGATGGGCTTCTCAAAAAAGCGTTTGAACTACGCTACGACCTCGAGAGAGAACTTGTAGCCGCCGTCATGACCCCATGGACTTGCACTGACGAACGTCATCAGTGGCTGCAAAAGTTCAAGAAACAGCAAGACGCGCAGAGAAGCAAGCGCTGGTCAGCACTATTGGATACCATAAGTTATTATCGCAGAAGTGTAGGTAATCATAATTGACATCGTGTATGGTACAGAAGTAACTGTGCCGGCTTTAGGGATTAAGTAGCTTGGCATGAGACGAGACATTTTGTGGGAAGAGTGTTCCGCCGATAAGCGCCCGAGCAAATGCTTCCGTCCGTTAACATCGAGATCGAAAGGACCCTCTCTCACATAGCACTAGTGTACTTCACTTTCTGGAAGAAATATTGGTCTGTGCGCTCCCATTCTGAACATTCCGATAGGCCTCTTCCCAGCCTCAATTTGCCTATCGAGCACACCATGGAATCTTACCCTTATCCGCATCTCGGTCTGACATTCCACACTGCCCTATTCACATCCCTGTCTCAGCCAACCGCACTTTTACAGCGGCTCATACAGGCCTCCACGCTTCCCACCACACCAGAAGGATATGAAGCCCGTGCAGCCGTAAACTTTGCTTTCATTGATGCTTCCATGGTCAGCAGCAGGTTAGCCTTGCTTACAGCGGCGTACCAAGCATGCATCGCGGAATGGGAGGGCACTATGCGGACGAAGACTATACACTCGGAGGTGCTGTGGTGCTTAAGCCCCGGAAATAATGTGAGTTCTTTTCAGAATACATTTTATTATTATTCCCAACCTTTCAACTAGATCACCGATGCTTTGCGACGGTTTGGACTCTCAGGGAGCAGCGAGTCACTGCTCGTATTGCACATTTGCCCCACTGCATCCCTCGATGCTTCGTCCCATGATCCATACCATCCCTCCAACATAGAAAACCGCATGCGCGCAGTCGTACAAGGACAACTCGTGCCCCTCGAACAACTGAAGGATGTAGCAGACTGGTCTGCCATTCGCAAGGTGCGTCCTTCTGTCTGGACCCTTCCTTGGAGTCTGATCAGCGAGCAGGCGTACAAGCTCAATACCGACGCGTCCATGATGTACACCCAGAAGTCTAACGCCGCGGCTGATGAGAAGGAAAAGCAACTGAACACAGTGACGGACGAGACTGTTATTAGCCTTATCGCTTTGAAGCCAGTTGCCGGATGACCAGCACCGGTGCCAGCGTGAACGCAATACCAGTCTTCAACGTCCGATGCACTCAAGGTGGTGATCGAAGATCTGGACTAGGATAATTTCTGCTGTGTCATGAGGCAGAACATTCATCGCTAGGAAATCCGCAGGCGGTCTTACACAGACGCCCGCGGCTTCCGACGGGTTTTCCGTATTCTTCCCATGTGACTGACATCCGGAGGAACCTAGTTATATGTGGCATGTACAATTTCTCAACCGCGCAACCTTAAGCGTTGGGAACTGAAATAATTCTGTCTTACGTCCTTTCGATGCAACACCAATTACAGGAAATCCATTCATGCCTTCCCCGCAGAACCAAACAGCGGGAAGAACCTCTCCGCAGCGTCGGCAAAGGCCTTGACGCCGATGTTGTGCACATCTGGGAGGGGCTTGCCCTCGACCAGGGCATGCTTGTATGCATCCATGTAAGGATCACGCATCCAGCTGTTCATGTTCATCTAGCCGCAACAGATTAAGTCAGCACAATGCACAATGCCTCGAAGCGTGACAAAGAACTGAGGGGTGGAAGGTGGTCGGAACAGACTAACCTTGGTCACCCCATTCTTGACACATTCCTGGAAGAGCGAGTCGGGCAGCTCATCAGTGCCATGCAGGCAAATGTACGTATTCGACTGGGCATAAGTCGTCTTGAGGGTCTTCAAACTGCGACCATAATCAGGAGTTGAAAGGGGAGAAAAGAGAGAGTACTAACATTTCCTGGTTGAAATTTGGTGGATTAATGTAATGCCCGTGAAGGTTTCCGATACTTGGCGCCAAAATCTGCGCACCGGTCCTATTAACGTGCGGGTCAACTCAGTTCTCCTTCCCAATGGTACAAAGAACGACGCACTCCCTGATGAAATGGTCTGCATCTTCCGGGTCGGTCTGCTTGCCTTCCGCGATGGCCGCAAGACCTGCCTCTCCGCCCTCAAGCCGGCCAAGCTCGACTTCGATCGCCATGCCCAGTTTATTGGCGCGGTCGACATACTTCTTCACCATTGCTATACCCTCTTCCTCTGTCTAGGGACGCAGTGAGCACGGGTGAGCGATATAAAGAAGGGTAGAAGCGGGCGTACGTCACACCGTGATGAATCAATCATAATGCTGTCAAGCTTGATCCCCTGCTTTTCAGCAATGTCGAACATGAAGTCGATGTCGGCGATCTCGACGGCGTGGTCCATGTGAAGAGACATGGGGACCTTAGCCTGGTGGGCACTACACAATAAGGAATCGTCAGCACAGGCACACAGGCACCCTGGATATGTGAATGAAATGTAGGCGCACATATCACGGCAGAAAGCCACAAACTGGCTTCCGCCATAACGCGCCGAGATGGGGAAGAGCATGATGATCCCCGGTGTGTTGGCCTTCTCACATGCATCCCGGAATCCCATCACACTGTCCATGTCGTAGCATACCATGCCGATGACACCATCTACATCATTTGGTCAGACAAGGACATGAATGGTAAAATTTGAAGCTGACAGTTTCCCTCCTTCGCCTTCTTGAGGATGGCGAGGGTACGGTTGTTCTCGGGGGTGACGATGGTGGAGGACATGTTTCTTGTATGTTTGATTTCACGTCAACGATGTTTTCCAACAAGTAATTCCTCGATACAGTTGCAAGCAAGGAACACAAGTTGAAAGGTGGACCTCTTGCTTTCCTCCATCTTGCCGTGTCGGAGAGCCGGAGGCGGCCAGCGGGCGGGGGGGTGTGGTACCCTTTTCGTATTACCCCGCCGCGGCGCGCACCGCCGTAACGTTAGGCCGATGAGAACCGGCCCGAGAGCCCCTCCTCCTTCACTTTGGTGATCGACTGAAGATGTCTTAGATGGAATCCTTTGATCAAGTTGAAGTGCTCTGGGCCCACTGCATGTCTTCGATCGTGTGAATTGTTATGCTCACGTGATGACAAGCTTGTCTACCTCAAGTTTGCCCATCCTCTGCGGTTGATAACCTGAAGAAGTCACCTGGGACTGTCCTCGCTTGTACTTCGAGTTCCTCATCAGGAGACTGTGCCTTATTCAGGACATATGGTTTGCGGGTGTTTCAATCAGCCACACCACTGACACGAGGACCACGACTCAGACCTGGATGCACGGCTGTCCCTTGATGCCCAGGAAACCACGTCTATCTAAAAGGCTGCCCTGTCTGTCTTCTTTATCCGCTCTTGCATGTATAAGAGATGCCGGAAAGGGGCTAGAAAACAGCCAACACCGTCATGCCCCTCATCAGCAATCAGCGCGGTATCTCCATCCTCCTCCTCCAGCAGGCAGCCATCGTCCATCTCTTTGGCCTCATATGGGGCTTCTTCGTCCCAGCGACACCCTTCCCGCGAATGGCACTCACGGCTCACATCACAGCAATGAGCGATTCAATGTCCCTGCTGCTGCTCGGGCTTATCTTGCGATTTGAAGGATTGGTCAAGGTCGAGCAGTGGTGGATGCGCGCTATGATATGGCCTTCCCCATTCTTCCTTTGGGCGACGGTCTTCAGCGAATGTGCCAACTCGGTATGGGGCGCGAACAAGATATTGCCTATCGTGAGCATCTTTCCATTTCTTGATTGTCTATTTTCTTCATGGGTTATACGCAGTCTGCTGCCGCGTCGGGAGCGCACGGCGCAAAAGAGTGGCAAGAGACCGTCGTCACACTGTGCCATGCGATCGGAGGAGTAAACTATGTAGTCTGTTGGGGCATTATCGTGTACGCACTCTTCGCTGGGGTTGCCGCACAAAAAGAAAAGAAAGAAAAAGAAGCATAGCATTAGGAGCGAGTAGTCGGACCGTCTGCTGATGTACAGCCATTTGTTTGAGAATTACCTCGGTCACACGTTTGAGGGAATAAACTTACCGAGCAGTTTCCTGACGTTCGACTAGTCTTACCCACTATGCCCGCACCCTAATGACCTTCCTCTTCCCCTTTCCTCCGGTACCCTCTACCTGCGCTTGCGCCTGCTGAGTTTTCTCATTCGCTAAAGTTTGTTTCATGCTCTCTACCAACATGCCCGTCTCTACGATGGGCGAATTGGCCGGCAGCCGCTGGGGGATCGCCGGTGCGGGTGAGGGAGGGAGAGGCACTTTGGTCATCCCTCTGGCGTTCTTACGCGGAACGAGGGATTCCGGAGTCGGCACGAACTGAGGTCGCTTGGACTGGACGTAGGCGGCAACGTGGAGAAGGAGCTTCTTTTCTATAGAAAGGTAAGTCTAAGCATGAGAAAGAAGCAGGAGACGGACTGGTTGGTATGGACGGATTGACGAGCCTGCCGTCCTTCTTGAACTGTACTTTGACTCGGCCTGGGTTTTCCCAGTCTTTTGGGTGTCGTTTCCCTTGCTATGTCCCAACTGGATTAGAGAGGACACGTCGTACGAGCATCAGCACGCACATCATGTAAAGTGTTAAACCCGAGTCGTGCGCAAGCTTCACCCATATCGGAGCTCAGAGGCCACCATACAGATTTAGCGCGGGGTATCCTTCTCTCATTCTTGTGAAGAGGACGCTTTGCGTCGATGTATATCGGGTAGAGTGTTGTCCATCTTCGAAGTGTCAGACACTCGCTTTGAACACCGCAGAGGACACGCACGTCTTCGTCGTCTCCCTGTTCATCAACGGACCTTTCCCAGACTGCTGTTGCGCAGGCACAGAGGTCCGGCTGCCACTCCCGCTCGCGATGACTTCTTCCCTGGGATCATACTCCTCCTCATCGTCCTCGTCCGCAACATCTTCATCCTCTTCGGAGTCGATCTCCTGCAGGAGTGGACCACGGGTGCCGGTATTAGGCAGTGAATGAGTAGGGAGTGGAAGATCAGTATCGTCGTCAAACTCTTCTTCTATGAAGGCACGGGGCGGCATGGTTGATGTTGCACGTATGTACTAGGCGGTGAGCAATCCCTTGTCGTGCCGTGTGAGAGACGGGAGCATTTCATTTCGGCGCTCATTCATAGCGTGGCCTGTTCCTCAACGACGCCTGTCCACCAACGCCAACAGTCTGTATGCGATACCCGTCATGTTGCCTTTACCACTATTAACGTAGGTATAACACCCTGTTCGACTGTGATTGTCTGATATAGTGCCATCAGATTGCTATTATTACTCACCCCCTCTCCCGTTGCCCCCGTTTCACTCCCCCTTCGGTCCATATTCCGTCGCGCCGACGCCTCGGAAGACCATCCTATTAACCTCCCCCCACAATCAGAAATTGAGCCAGGATCGGTCGTGTGTCGACCTTTTGGTGTCTGTGAGCCATGTCCAGCAGAAGCAGTACGTGCTCCTCTCTCTTATTCTGAAACGCGCTCACCACTGGAACAGTTAAGCCAGCCTTATTGCCAACCATTCGGCAATCGACGACTCATTCACTGTCTTCCCTATTCCTCCCTACCACAAACGGGGGAAGGTACTCTCAAGACAGGAGATGACGGAGAGGTCTTGGGTGAAACACCAGCGTGGGAGGCGTGCGGGAAGGTAGTGAGCAGGGAGCTCGCAGACTTTTGGGAGTTCGTGGTGCGTTCCCTTGTATTATCCAAGCAAAGCCAAAGTTCTGATTGATTTCACAGATGTTTAATTTGGTACTATTAGCCATCGCGGGCGCCGTGTACCTGCTGAGAAGCCGGAAACTCGCAGCGTTGCAGTATCGACAACTGGTAGCACGAATAGGACTGTCGCGAGGTACAGGGTGGCAGGACGGGTGATTTATTGGAGAGACGATTAATGACACTTATATCATATCAACATGACTGCGGTTCTGTTCGGATGGTGCCTGGAAACTGGTTGTGCATTCCGACAAAGGCCCTGCTCTGTGCCCACATTCGCTTTTGAATTCGTGACACGGGGTCCTGATGGAAATCAACGAGAGCGAGGAAGGACGAATGAGAAATGTGCTCACGGTAGTCCGTCAGCGATCAAATCCGGTTATCCGATAACAATGGGAGATACCTCATTAAATTATAACCAGCAACCCTCCCTGAGTGGCACCACCAATTTCCTAGCAACCGCCAAGGCAACAGTTTCCAGGTTCACGATGTTGAGAAATCTCCAGGGAGTACTCCATGTTGATGTATGTAGGTTTGTTCTCAGTATCAACTGATTGTCGTTAACAATACCCTGCTTCTCGTCACAATATCCTATGACAACGGACAGGTCATATGAAGTCCTTCTCATTGGTCACAAATTACGGAAACAGTTCAATCACATAGGAGTATTGCACAAGTCCATCAGGCACCCCATAAACGAAAGAGGGGTGAGCAAAAGTCTCCGAACGAAAAGGCACAACAATAGTACAGCGGCACGCAGAGGAACCGTTCAATATGTATGGTAGTACATGATGGCACAGAAGCGGCATGGATATCACGGGGGTATGAGCTTACCGCCGCCGGCGGGGGTCCAGCAGGTCCACGACACGATCGCGTGCGTCTGCAAGGCGGAGTGACGCATCGAACGTCTTGTTCCCAAGGATTCGACGTAAGCGCAGACGAAGCGCATCGAGTGATCTTCGGGAAGCATCATTGTCCTCTTCTGGCCGGATGCATGAGTAAAGCATGGCGATCGCATCCAACATCAGGCGAGCGTCGTCTTGCCGCCCATTGGGGGAAGACTCGATGTCATCCGCCTCGATACCAAACTCGAGATCATCCCACGCCTCCAGGAGTTTCCGGCTCTCTCCGCCCAGCTGAAGAGCAGACTGCTCTGCCCAGTGCGCGAGCTCGAAGTCGGCTCCTTCCGGATCAGCCGATTTCGGGTTGAAGGCGGCGTTGGCAACGCTGATGAACCGGCTTGTGGCGCGCTCGGTTACGTGCTCCTGGATTGCGGCACGTGCGAGGGTATCGAACAGAGCGGGTTGGGTGGTCATGCTCGATTTGGTTAGAGTGGCACGGCGAATCAGTTCTTTGGCACGTGGCAGGTCCAGTTGGAACGCCGCGTGTAGAACAGCGTCGGTGACCCCACTCTGCTCCTCTTCATCAGCAATATCCGCCGCAGCGCCATTCCAGAGCGACGCAGCGATAGATCTGAGCACGATCCAGTTTGGGAGCAACAGCGCGAGCAACGCGCGCTCCTCGACGGAGGTGGGGAAAAACAAGGCAGGAAGTAGCGAGAAGATCGCATAGCCACGGGAGAAGACACCTACAAAGAGGTCAGTCACATTTCCGGAAGCATATAAGGTTAAGCGCAACGCACCTCGTCGCCGCAGGATCGCCGATTCGGCGTACTGGGTCTTTCCGTCTTTTGTTACAAGCTTCGGGGAGCGGGGACGTGCCCAGCCTGCTCCACCGAAGAAGAGGGTTGCACAGAGGGTGACGACTACTGCGAGCTGGGCGACGTCCAGCCAGGTGTGGACGCCAAGGGTGGGCACGGAGGGGGAAGGGCCGAGAGCGGTTTTCGCCCATCCTGGGGTTAGGACGGTACCAGTCTGAGTACCTGGCTCTGCGGGGGTGGAGAACACTCCTCCACTGCGGAAGATAGAAAAGCAGAGGAAAGCCGCTAGGAGATAGCGGGGTGCAGCACCTTGCTGTGGTTGCTGCTGGACAGGGGAGAACGGTAGCTGCCCTGGGCCGCCCGGCCCCGCAGAACGCAGCTGCGTCTGAACCTGCTGCACTTGCTGTTGCTGCATTGCGGCCATCTGGTGGAGCTGCTGCGCCTGCCTTTGTTGAAGCGCATATTGCTGCTGCTGCATCTGGAACTGCTGTTGCCGCTGAGCAGTCATGACAGCCATCTGCTGGTCAGGGGAGAGGCGCGTCATAGACGGCGGGGAGGTCCTGACCCCAGCTTGGGGTGGGGAGGGTAGAGTTGGTTGGGGAAGAGAAGGCTGGGTATTTTTCCGGGGCCGGCCGCGCTTGCGTCGTTCTGCTTCGACGCCGTTCATTGGTGGAAGAGCAGGGACAACCATGCCGCTTCCGTCAACCTCGCCCATGCTGACGCGTTGCCGCTTGCCCCTCCTTCCGCCATCATCATCATCGTCCCCTTCGTCGTCCCAGTCATCGCCGTCCTCTTCCTCTTCTTCGGCAGTGGCAAGCGCATCGCCTTCGGTCATTCCCACTTCCGCGAGCGGGACGCCGTGTGGGATGCGGAAGAGCTCGTCTGTGCCATACAAGTGACGGTCCATGGGGAGGAATGTATGCTCCCACTGGGTGTAAAGCATCTGCCCCTGGGGGAAAGAGCAGAGCAGAGCTTGAAGGGCAGTGCGTTCTCTTGTCAGCCTGGAGGCTCGGCGATTCAGAACCCTGGTACACAATTGAATGAGCATCGCCGCGTGTTGTCTTACCGGTTTTCTCTTACCCAATGTACTCCACTCCTTTCTCGAGCACGACGCTCTTGCTGTTCTTGCCAGCGCGTCGGACACCGTCGACGTATCCACGTTCGTCGGGAATCCAACGGTCACCCCATCGCTCTCGGTCAAGGATCGCCACAGCTGGGACGGCATCACGCAATGCCTGGATACAGCTGTTCAGATTGCGTCGGTAGCGCCGCTCGATGGTGTTGTGTGGTGTGAGCCGGCGCTTTGTTGGCTGCTTCTGGCCCTGGGTAGTCTGCTGTTGCCCTGGCGGAGCGCCTGTGGGAAAATTGAAGGAGACCGTGGGGAGCCCGGGTGGGGACTGGCTCGATTTGAGATTTGGCATCGCAGATGTGGGGGTAAGGATGGGTTGCGCTTGAGCGACTCCAACCGACCCAGGCGCGCTCATTGTATACCCGGACTGGTGCTGGCCGGGTAAGGGCTGACCCGACGGCGGGGACCCGTGGGCCGACGTGGAGGACCCGACAGAGGAGTGTCGGACAGTGTCGGGATAGCCTGAACTGAGGGGGAAACGCATTTCAGAGTTTGCGCTGGTGGGGGCCGCGCTCGCCCCGGATGAGAAGGGGGTGACAGCCGAGGCTGGGAAGTCGAAACTATTCAGGTCGGGCGGGATGACGAACTCGTTCGTCGGTGTGAAGGTTCCTATCGTCAGCTGGGGGTTGAATGCTCCCTGTGATTGGGACTGCTCCTGCTTTTGGAGTTGCTGACGGGTCGAGGGGAGCATGGTGTCGTGGTGCTGGGGGTGGAGAAACTTATCCCAGTCGCTGTCGAATCCGTCCCAATTGACGATGCCAGCCGCGAAAGCCTCGTCGGATCCGATGGAGTTGGGAGGAAAGACGGAGAGGTTGAACGTGTCCAGGTCGCGGGGTGTTGTGAGGTCTGGTGGGGATGGAGTACGAGGATGGAGACTGCCTAGAGAGTCGTCGGTTGTTGATGTACTCGAGGTTGAAGCTGAAGCGGGTGAGGAGTGCTGCGATTGTTGAGAGTTCTGTCCCTGGTGAGGTGTGAACGTATATGAATTTGTGTTGGTGTTGAAGTTGTTTTCGTTTGAGTAGAAGGATAGAGGGTCGTCGATTGGGACAGAGTGGAATATGGGGCCTTCCATATCCTAATATAAACTTCCACTCACAGGGGAGGGGGAGAGCGGAATGAAGAGGGCACAGAGAGAGAGGTGGAGATGGTGGATAAGAAGAGAGAAGAGTGTTAAAGGGAAATCCTCTGGTGCGGTTTGATGAGGGACAGGACACACACCGGTGCTGAGTACAACCGTCGAGGGGCACAAACACACAAAGACACCGAACACTCTTGGACCCCGATCACTCCCTCCTACTTACCAAAGGCTGTGCTCCTCGTACCACCCACATGCCCATATCGCCGATTCGCTTACTAGTCTTCTTCCTCTTCGGGTTGACATCCTCTTCTTCGCTCTTGCACGTAAAAATCACCCACGAATAAGAACATTAACAATGACGTAATGTTCCTTTCATCAACATAACAATATCCTTTCTCGATTCCATCACTTCTCATCTCGCTTTCGTTCTCGACCGACCAGCCACCCCCTCGGTCGACGAGACATGTTCCCCGACATATTCAGTAACTCCCCGATCGATGCAACAGCATACCAGTCCCTCACAGCATTCCGCAGTCCTCATCCCCGACGTCCCTCCCTCATGTCCTCATCCTCGGATGCCAGAGCTTGGCACGGCCAACAAATGACCCATGCTGTTCCTTCGGGGGGCATACCATACAGCCGAGGAGACCGTGGCCCCTTGCTGAACCCAGTTCCAGTTCGCTTCCTCCTGGTAACTCTCTCCCTTCCGCCCCTGCTCTGCTTCTCTCCCTGTTCAAACCCCCGCGGCGACACAGAGACGACCTCACGCAAACGCATCATCATTTTTGCACTGGCTCCCTACTACATACGGAGACGTAAACTCAACAGAGCCCCAGCCAGCCGGAGGCCTAAAGACGCTTTCCGGATGCCAGCGGCATACATAAACGCATCCCGCCGACCTCCCCTGTCGCCGCTGCGCAGCAGCCTCACCATCCTTCTCTGTGGGAAGGCAAGAGCAAGAAGGGAAGGCACGGATGTGATATTTTCCCTCCTGAGAAGGGATCATCGTGGCTCCTATTGAACTCCCCATCGTCTGCCCGCGTGCGGTCCGCACCGCATCAACCCCGCGATTACAATAAACAATACAGCTTATTAAGTGGGGGCGATGTTGCGCAGTCAGTTTCTTGCCACGCATCGGCCGATCCCTGACAAGACCGGCCCGAGACCGGGAACTCCGCTGTGGGATGTGCGATTACGTAATATCACACAACACATGGCCCACTCACTTGTTGTTTCCAACCAGCACATCCTGCTCCTCCGTTCAGGGTACACGAGTCGCCTGCCCATTACCCACCCGGACAAGCGGTAACACAGTGCAGTATACAAAAATGGCCGCCGCACGGCTCTCCGCCCCTGCCCTGATCCGGCTCGAGCGCATCATACAGCAATACTCGACCGTCCCTCTCTACCCTGGATATGTACCCGTACCGGCATTCACGATCGTACACTCGGTGAGGACGTATGTTGCTTGGGCGCAGGCGACGAAAGCAACGGGCGCGCAGGGCAAGCTTGGGTTCTTGCAAGGGTTGTTTGGGTATTTGGTCGTTTCCTGTGAATCCTTGTTTTATCATTGGTGGTAAACATACTTATGCACCTTCAGGGAGCGGGATGACAATGTCCTGCATCCTCCTCGTCGTACCACCAATATGGATGTACAACGCACAGTACTTCCTGACCTACGTGTGTGCCTTCTGCTTGCTCTCGATCGGACCCATCCCAGACATCCTCTGCCAACTCCCAGCCGAGCCCCTCGCCATCCTAGACGGGTTCTACCGCACATCAGGGGCGATAGGCATGATGCAGCTCGCGCAGAAGAACCCAAGCGTGGGGCTGCGTACCTCGCCCCTTACAGTTTTGGTCCTGGGAGCTGTCACCTCGGGTGGGGGAACCCTCGTCATCCCCACCTTTGGCTTAGCAGAGCTCGATTGGACTCTCCGCACCCCGCCCGTGCTGAAGGGTGACATATGGACAACGCTCGACCTCTGGGCAGGCGCGGTCGTCGTTGCGGTATATGCTTTTCTGAGCGAGGCGCACCCCGGACTGAACCTCCGCCTGCTCGGGATCAATGGCATGGAAGATTATAGGGGCCGCATACACCCCTGGTTTTCCGAGGCTGAGGCAAAAGTCATCGCTATCATTGTGGGGATTACGATCTTTTCGTTGCGCGCTGGGCGCCCGATGGCCAAGCCCGTCAATCCGACGAGTAAGGCCAAGGCGGCGAAGGCGGCGGAGAAACGGCACGAGGTGAAGGATAAAGAGAGTGTGGATCTGAGTTCGTCTTCCTCCGCCATATCGACCTCGATCGGAGCGACCACTACCCCGAAGAAAGAAGAAAAAGGCGAAGAAGGAGACGCCCAACATCATGGTGAGTCAATAATAGATTTTCAGGCAATGGCAATTTAGTTCGGAGGAGTTACGTCACACTCGTCATGCTAGCAGACAATAATGAACAAACAATACCCGTTTGCCGTCTTTAATTTCCACGCAGCTAAAGTTACAACCGAAAACATGGTTCCTCGTTCCTGCAACATTGGACCGCAGCCTCCTCTCATTTAGGATCCTCGACCCAGAAGCTCTTCCAGTTGGCTCCCACGCCAGGCTATCCACGACATGTTAGCCTTTACGCAAGACCTTGTCACACCACACGACTACCTTATTGTCTTTCGAATGCCCATCTAGGGGACGGTGAGAACACATCACTGGCATCTTGGGAAGTGCTTACGCGTCACCGTGCACTTGTATTTAACACCATTGACCGTATGATGGTTGCCTTGGAAGGTCTCGTCCTCAAGGTGCCAAGATTCCGACTGCGACCTTCTATGCGTGAGGTCTGGCATTGAAGTCATGGTGGATATTTCTGAGGCGCTGATCGAAGTCGTTTGGGACGTTTGTTGGTGGTGATAGGTGGTGGTATGAGGATGGTTGGGGGATCAAGGATTCCGAGACAATCAGGTTATATGTGCGCCCAGTCGTCAGCAGGCCAAGCCCAATTAGGATACGGCCCATGGAACCAATCCCCCCATTCGTACTTTGACGTGTCATCCCTTTTCCGACTCGGTTTATCATCATCTTCTTCTTCTTATGACTGTCCCAAATAAAGAGCGCTTGCCACTGGGGCCCAGGATTGCACAGACCATCTCAGCCGAACAAACGAACAAGAATCTTAGAGCGCTTAGTCTTGGTGCTCATGTGGGGCCTGAAAGTGAGCACGGCCCACTTTTTCAGTGGTGCGGAGGGGTTAGTCAACGGATTCTGCATTCTCTGGGCTAGCCACACGAATCCGTCACCAACGCAGGTATCTGTGAGGGCATCAATGTGGCACAGTTCTAGACGTGCGTGAGGTCCAACTGCAGATATCATACATTCGACTGCCAACTCATCAGTGAACTCAATCGATCCATGCCTTGTTTATCCTGACAACGGTGCCTGATCCCCAAAGGCGCCTTCGAGGAAGTCCTTTATCCTCTGGTCTCCGGGATCGGGAAGCCATGCGCGCTCCGCCAAGTTGAGCAGGTGCCGATACTTCAGGCCTTCCTCATGCGCGTGCCTGAAGCCGGGATGCTCCAGCAAGAAATCATGCAAGACCTTCAGCCAGTCATCTGGGATATCGGGTATGAAGGGTGCTTGAGCCCTGACAAACGCAGGCAGACACTGCATACCCTCAAAGTCCACAAAATGTAGCTTGACGACCTTGCCGTCTTCCACTAGTGCGAGGATGTTGTGCAGGCTCCACATGTCGCGACAATAAAACCCGTTGACACCAAGCGGCCCGTTGAGCACGCTCTCCGGTATCTCGTCGATGATTTGCTTGACGCGATCAATATAAGTTTGATCGATAGGTTCCTCCTCCAATCGCGGATAGTTCATGCTGCCCTGAGCTACAGACTTCAGCCATTCCCTTATGTCGTCGAATGGGCCGAAATCTTTAGGTGGATCGATGAGATGGGGGTTCCGTAGGCCCTTGAGCGTCACCATCCTACCCACTCGGATATCCAGGTCGCTCTCAGAAAGATTTCGGATGCCGTTCAAACTGCCGTTGATCTCTAGACTGCCGATTAGGGGTACCTGTACCTCAAACAGCTGGAGCATGTAGTTGGCGATCTGTTTAAATGCATCGCGGGTCGCTTCTGGAGACAGTTGTGACGCAATTTGAATGAGAGGACGTCCCGTGACCTGGATTGCGTAAGGCGTTGAGCTAGAGAAGGAGAGGAGACGGGTACATATTCCTGCAGCGTCCATGCTGCCCCGATGCGATTGTCCTTGCCGTCATCGAATGCGTACACGCGAGGTACGGGGAGATCCGTCCATTTTAGTAACGCAATCATGGATGCAACCTACTCGACAACGTGAACCCCAAATGGAGGTGTCCATGCTGTCCAAAACCATACCTCGGATTTCTCTTTTTGTTCCGGCCAAAATCGGTGTCTTTGCTGGAACTCGTCAAAAACGGCAGAGGTGATTCGCACCACGTAGGTTTTCCCGAGTGCCGTTTCAACCACAACCACCTGAAGTGGTGAGCACCGTATTGGCGGAATTTGAGCCGCTCAGACATACGACATGAGACGATCCTGTGCGAGTGTCAGACAGTGAAGAGGTTACAGAGCCTAGAGAGACGCACCGTAGTCCAGAAACGCAACTTTCCGGCTTCGATTCTCCTCATCTGGAAGCCGGTCATTGAGTGCTAGGGCGATATCGTGAAGATAGAGGTGCGGGGGCCATATGTTCTGTGCGCATGGTTCAGTCGCCCTCGCTGGGAGATGGTGCAGGTGCAGGTGCTCACACGACCCTCTTCCAAGACCACCGGACGGTCGTCACCGTAATAGAAAAACTGCAGCTGTTGCTGGACATACGAAAAGGCATATCCAATTGTCGACCACATTCAACGTTTGGGGTAAGATTCCCGGTAGTGTTTGTCAAAGGAGCTATGTCCAAGATGCGGCGCAGGTGACAGCCCCGCGCAGTAACCGCAAAGTCCGACAGGATGTGGACCAATCAGGGAGGGCCGCCTCTTCCCGGCGTGCCTGTAAGTAGGGTCCGCGTTCGGCGATTATGTACTATTCGGGTTTACGCTACCCCATCCCGTTCGTTCACCGTATACATCGAGGGCGCCCCTCTTCCCTCTTCCCTTTCCAACAAGGCCAACATGGCCACCAAGAAGGAATTGAGGGAAGATCCCCTCCTACCACCAGGCCTCGTAAACACTTCTAATACATGCTTCTTCAATTCCGTCATGCAATGCGTCAGTAGGGTTCTATGCATTCCAGTCTCACACAACTGACACTCGGCATCACACAGTTCATCGCAAGCTCCGTCCTCGAAGCCACGATTGAATCCCTTTCTGGCTCAATCCCCCCCACACTCCAACCCGACAAGAGCCCGGCATTGACGGATGCGCATAAGGCTGCGACCGCGGATACAAAGGCCATGCCCATAAGTATGGCGTACATCAACCTTCTCGAGCAGTCGTGGAAGATAAGAGATGCGCGCGACAGGCAGTCACTCGTTCCCAGGTAATTCTTTCTACCCCCATCACGTAGTGTGGCCTTGCTTATTTGCCACAGGACCGTGTTGCAGCAGCTCGGCAACAAGTATGAGCAGTATCTCGACGTGCGTTATCATAAGCAACTCCCACCAATGATCTGCGACTAATTGCCTCCCAGTTCCGGCAACAGGACGCTCATGAGCTCTATTGTCATCTTTTGGATGCTATGCATATGGAAGAGTACGACGTGAATATTCACTCCGCGTTTCGAAGTGCGTGATCTCATTTCCTCTCAGATAATTAAGAAGCGCCAACCGCCGCCGCCAAAGCCAAACAAGAAGGCGAAGCGAAATTCTCACCAGTCATCCCCGCTGCGTAGGGATGATTTGGCCATCAACGTGCCGTCGGTGCCTCTGCCGATTCCGGAAGAAGAGAGGCTGAAGCCTTTCGTCGACCAAGTGTTTGGAGGAACGCTCGCGAGCATGGTAGTGTGCGAGACGTGCAAACATGTATCGCACACGTACGAGGATTTCACAGATCTGTCGTTATCCATACGGTCCGATGAGAAACTGAGAAAGGTTGGCATAAACATTTCGACAGTGGGGTTGATAGCTCACCGATGGCAGCGCGATCGCTTAAAGAACATCAGTCAGCTCTTCAGGCTTCCTGCCAGAGCAGGGCGTCCTCTTTCCATGCCACCGGATCATTATTCCAGAGAAGTGCTTGCTGGCCTCGAGCATCACGGAGAGGAGCGAAACACGGAGTCTGACGTCGAAGCCACTCCAGTAAACCCCCCGAGACCTTATTCGCAGCCGGGTTTGCTGGGCGGTTCGGCGCTCGAAATCAAAGATCCCAAGAAAATGGCGAAACGGTTATCGATTAGATGGGGCAAAGGCAGGTCATTCCACAAGGATGTAACGGACACGGAGCAAGATAAGAGCGCTGGCCCGTCGGAGGCAGAAGGGAAGACAGGCGATGAGCGAGAAGTAGAATCGGACTGGGAGCAAGTGCGCAAAGCGGCTGACATCGAGCGCTCTCGTTCACTCCGTCCTCCGGCCAGCGGGAATTTGACAGACGACGATCGCCTGTCCAGAGAGAGTGTCCCGAAGCGTCCAAACCCGCTGAAGCGTCTCCACTCACGGAACAAAGGCTCCACGGCAACAATAACGCCCACGAGAAGAAGAATCAATGATGAGTCTGCTTACATTGGACGGATCCTGGCGGATACGGCCCCTTCTATTCCCCTACCGCCGGGGATGAGCCAGCATCCCCAGACATCCTGGCTTAGGCTTGGAGGAAGTGGGCATGGTCTTGTTGACTGTCTCCGCCAGTTCACCTCGGTAGAAGTCTTGGAAGGCGACAATGCCTTTGCATGCCATCGGTGTTGGAAGCTCGAGAATACCCATGGCAGCAAACGGAAGTCTGAAGACAGGGACGAAGATGATGAAGATGACGAGGATGACGAGGACGAGGTTGAAGAAGAAGCGGTTGTCGACAACGAAATCGAGAACGACTTGATCGTGGTGAGCCGCCCAGCGACACCGCCTTCCCCACCGCAGGAGCCATTCACTTCCGTTCACTCTCCCCCTTTAGTGCGCGCGGACTCTGGCGACCTGTCTCTTATCAGTGTTCCGAGTCGTCCGCCTTCCGTCATTTCTCAATCGGCGATCTCCATGGCAGACTCTGAAGACGATCTAGCGTCGTCGGTCGTATCTTCTCCCTCAACATTTCCGGCATCCCATACTCGCAACCCTGTTGAACAAATCACCCCTACCCCCGAACCATCAGGGCTTCCTGGAGGTTTTCGCATTCCTGAAGTCACTACGACGTGCTCGGCAGACGAATCGGATGGTACGTCAACTGATCCTTCTACACCTACCCCCCAGACGTATACTCGCAACTCTTTCCTTCTACCCGCACCCGCACATATCAGTCGTCGACCGCGTCGGCCCAGTCCACTGTCGGACATAGATAGCGGAGTAACGTCCGATAGTGATTACGTGGAATCGGAAGTAGAGCCCTCCGGTCCCCCTTCTGAAATGGGATCCCGTCCCGGCTCACGTCCATCTACACCTCCGTTACAGCCTGCGCGGCAGCCGAGCAAGGCACGAGTTCCCCGATCCCAACAAGTCGTCCATCGCCGTGCTCTCAAGCGTTATCTCATAGCGTCTGCTCCTCCAATTTTGGTCGTGCATCTGAAGCGTTTCGAGCAGCTTTCAAAGTCTTCGACCCCATTCTTCGGTAATCTCAAGAAGATTGAGGATTTCATCAGCTTTCCGGAGATGCTTGATATGGGTCCCTTCATAGCTCCACGCCGGGAGGACTACGGCCTGAAAGCAGGCAGAGGCCGCCCAACTGCTCCACGCAGGCGTGAAGACGAACCGCTTATGTATCGCTTATATGGAGTTGTGGTCCACATTGGGAGCATGGTACGTAGTCCGATCTATTCTAGCAATTCCTTGGTTGACATGATCACCGTAGCTTGGCGGCCATTACATCGCCTACACCGCGCTTCCACCCTCGAAAGTCACCATGTTCAATAAAGTCGAATCAAAGGACAAAGAAAAGGAGGGGTCGAAGAAGTCTGATCGGCAGTGGTGCTATATCAGCGATACCACAGTGAAATTAGTTTCATTTGATGAGGTCTTGAAGGCGAAAGCATACTTGTGCTTCTATGAGAGATTGTACAATTAGATAGCGATGCGTGGGCACACCTGTGGATAAGTTGTCTCGTTACCTGATGCATTTTCTAGTTTATACTTGGTGCTGTAGATCTATATCTCAAACATTATTATCATATCCGTCCACCCTCCCCCCATCTATGGAGATGTCAGATACTAGTCATTGTGAACCTCAATCTTTCTATCAACGCGTTATTCTCCTCCTCTGAACCTACGGTTATTCGCAGGCAGCCTTCGCAACCGTACTCATTTCCTCGATAGCGAATAACCACACCCTCCTTCTCCGCCATCCGACTGTAGATCTTCTGTGCCCGAGGGCTGTCCGGTTTGCCCGTTGTTGGGTTCAACACGGGCACCAGGAGGAAATTGGCATGATTCCCACCAATTGCAGGTGCCAGTGACAAGGATTGCAATTCCTTCAAATCTTCCAGAAGCCGCGCCCTTGAAGCAATAAGCGTGGCGACTTTCTGTCGCATCAGCGCAAGAGCTTCCTCTGAAAGTGCTGACAACGCCAAGCGGGCCGACGGTGCAGATATATTATAAGGTGCCTTGGTATTAGATAATACTTGTATCAAGGGCGGTTGTGCAAGGGCAATACCGAGTCTGTATGACATAAATGAGAGATGATTCAAATTTAGGCAGAAAAGAACAAACCGAATGCCTGCCAGTCCAAAGCTCTTGCTCAGTGTTTGCATAACGCACAGATTCGCGTACTTCTCGACCAAAGCGCATGCACTGGTACCATCCCCGGCGAAGTCGACGTAAGCTTCATCCACAACTACAATGCCATGGAATGAAGGTAGCTCTAGAACTTCTTTGATATCGGAAATGGGGATCAATGTGCCCGTTGGGTTGCCCGGAGAACAGAGGAAGACCATCTTGATCAATGGATCACTCTCCAGGGCTCTTTTCATCTGGTGATAGCATTACCACATACTCTGAGCATAGAATATACTGCTGACACACCTTTGGAAGATCAAGTTGAAAGGCGCCTGCCTCTACGACAAGAGGGACCTTCACTAGTGCCACATCATTGACCTGGCCGCAAACAGAATACATGCCATAGGTCGGCGGAGTGATCAGCACCTTGTCCTTTCCTGGAGTGCAGCAAACTCGCATAAGGAGATCCAGCACTTCATCCGACCCGACGCCAAGAAAGATATATTCCGAGCCAGGCAGCTTCCGCAGGTTGGCTATCCGCGTTTTAATGGCACTCTGGGCCGGGTCCGGGTAACGATGGAGGTCCAGATAGCCGTCTTCTCTATCGAGCAAGGATGACGGAATGGAAGGCCCAAGTGCGTTCTCATTTGCGTCGAGCAGGATTCCAGACTGATAGTCATCTCGTGCGCATCGATACGGGTGAAGGTCTAGGATGTTTGGACGAATGACGGCCTCGATATGAAAGTGAGGCGGGTAGACGGGTCGCGTTGAAGGAGCAAGTCCATGAATAGGCATTACGAGCGAGACTAGAAGAGATCAAACAGCCCTCGTTCGCTCGAAACAGGAAGATATACTGGTCCTTTGTGACTCGACTGAGATGAAGTAACCAGTCAGGGTCCACCGATCAATGATTTTCGTCAGACGGCTTTTGTCGGCCGGACATTGATTGACCACCCCTTGTTCTTGGAGTATTGACTGCTCGGAAAAAGGTCTGATGGGATCCGTTGAGCAAATTGTTCAGCTTCATGGTATGTGGTACATGTTGATCCCCCAGACCGCCCTGGCATTTACCCCCGATTTAAGGCCACACCGACAAGGCATGGCAATTAGCGTGGAATCCAGTTGAGCCTCTCGTTGCCTCATGCTCGACCGACAAGACTGTTCGATTATATTCTTACACTGGCTTGGTGCACCCGAAATTCACTTTGTCTACCTCTATATCCACTGGCCACACCAAAACGGTTCGCACCATCGCATGGTCTCCAGATGGGAAGCTTTTGGCTACCGGGAGCTTTGATTCGTCCGTCATATTATGGGAGAAGCAACCCGCTGAAGAGGATAAGGATGATCCAAGCACTGGAGATGATTGGGACAGCATCACAAGAATTGAAGGCCCAGAAAGCGAGTGCAAATGCGTTGCCTTCTCCAGATCTGGGGAATACCTTGCAACTTGCAGCCGAGACAAGACGGTTTGGGTATTTTCAGGTAAGTATTCCATGTGCTACTGGTAAGATCGTGCTGATATCTAAGCAGTATATCCGGACGACTACGAAGTCAGTAGTGTCTTGATGGAACATACTCAAGACGTGAAATGTGTTGCTTGGCATCCGAAAGAAGACGTGCGCAAATTGCAGCAGGATTCAAAGCATACATTAATCTACGTCACAGATCTTAGCGTCCAGCTCATACGATGACACCATCAAACTCTATCATGATGATCGGGACGACGAGTGGTACCCATTCGCCACGCTTACAGATCATGCCTCGACTGTCTGGTGCATGTCCTTTTCCCCATGCGGGAACTATCTCGCATCCTCATCAGATGATTTAACGATCCGCTTATGGGAACGACATGACGATGAATGGCATACCATTAAGGTCCTAAACGGGACTCATGAACGCAGCATCTACTCGGTATCGTGGGGTAGAGGAAGAGGCGGGTTGGGTTGGCTAGCCAGCGGGGCAGGAGACGGAAGAATCAACGTCTGGGAAATGGTTGGAAGGATGCTCTTCAGATTTTCAGTGCATGTTGCTGACATCGAAGCAGACACGTCAACCACAGGAACCAATAGAGGCGCGATTAATCACCACCCAAGAGAACAGTCATGGTGTTTCAGACGTGAATGCTGTTGCGTGGTGTCGAAGAGACGGGTATACAGATATGCTAGGCAGCGTCGGCGATGATGGGTGTCTTCGAATCTGGCGTATCACCCCAGACTGATTAATGCTTGATTGACTGATGCAGGAGTCCTGTGCCAATGACCTCAGCATCGTTGATCTGATATTCACAAATGAATATACCTGATCATCGGCGTCTTTTCTTCCCGAGCTCCTTCTCAACCTCCTCCTGTCTCCGTATACCCACCCTGTCCAGGAAGTCATGTTTCGCTAATGACCCACCTGAGCGGCGATTGACATCTAGTTCTTCCTTGACAAACTTGTCCGTGTCTGCCAAATGAGTTGACCAGTCAAGAGCAGACTTTTGAAGCATGGTCAACTTTTTTGGCTTGGACGACAGAAGGTTGACGCGAGGCCTGCGTGGGCCGGGCCGTGGATGTGCAGGTGTAAACTTAGTAGCATCCTCTACAACGGTGAGACTATTGCAGTCCAGGGGCGCATGGTTTGTGCTGGTATTCGATATGCCTTCATTGGTCTTGCTCGCAAGCCATTGTTTTGCCTCGTCCGAATTCGCGGCGACCACCTTTGTCTCCCTTCATTCAATTCAGTAATTACGCCAAGACAGACCAGACTATGTAGTTGGGGCGTACGTGATCTCTTTGCCTGCGAACTTGAAGTGCTTCTCTATCTCAATCATTTCAATATCCTTCGCAGTCGCACGTGAGGAGTCGGCCAATGATGCCTGGAACTCTTCCCACATTTCCTGTCGCTGTCTTCTCATGATCAATCTGTGCCACTAGCAAAGCTGGCAAGGGACGTACTGCTCTGCAACCACCCTTCCTTCCACGATGGGGCTTTCCAGTCGCGGCTTTTTGGCGGTGGGTTCCTCCTCGCTTTCAGAACCTGGGAACATCAAAGAGTAAATAGAAATAACAGGCGGCGTTTGTATACGCCACCTTCTGCATTGGACGGGGGCTTGTAGTCTTCATCCTCATCATCGGAGGGATCGAGATCGCTGGGCATGGTGAGGGGAAGGAAGGTGGAAGCTGGTGGCGATAGGTGGTGGTCCCGTTGTATTGAATGCGCAATCCGAGGAAAAGAAACCCTTGGGGAACTCGACGGAGTCCCACAAAGACCACCCGCAGCGCATTATGACTACATTACAGGTGCCTACTCCTGCATATGCTCAATCCTTGCTGTCATCCAGGTCGTCTTCTCCTTCTTCCGGTGGAGAAAAGACAACCACTGTGATCTTGGAACCAGGGACACAACCGGACTATGTCTACGACAACGCTTTGCCGCCCTGGAGAGCAGCTATTCGCCGTTGGGTTGTGAAATCCTTGCGATGGGAATCCGAATGTATAGCCAACATGCAGGTAAGCTCGATGCAGTTATGTGACATAAAATAAATCCTAAGAATTGTGCTGTAGAGAGTTGTACGCCGGCCTTGGCTCGATACTTACTTTGTCTACACATCCACATTGGGGACGCATACGTTCTTTATGACAGTCTTGCCTGCATTCTTTTTTTTTGGGTACCCGACATGTGGAAGAGGGTTAGTCTTTAGCTCTAACTATGTGACAAGGTTATTGACCTCTCTTGACCAGACTGGTTCAGATTCTTTCGTTTGGCGTGTATACGTCAACTTTCGTCAAAGACTCTATCTGCTCTCCTCGACCGTACACTCCCCCGGTGACTCGACTGAGTACGTCTCCCTTCCCAGATTCGGAGAGGTGCTGAGAAAACAAATCAGCCATTGGGACGCATCATCTGGAATATGGATTTCCTTCGACCCACTCGACGAATAGCCTTTCCGTCGCCTTGTACATCTTCACGCTTTGCCTCTCTCTCCCACCTTGGGGTCTAGCAATCACATCCGCATTACTGTCGTTCTATATCTTCAGCATTGTGTATGGACGGCTCTACTGTGCCATGCATAGTTTCACGGACTGCATTGCTGGTTGTCTCATTGGCACCCTGATTTGGTCTATACAATGGGCATGGCAGGATCGCATCGAACAGTTCATGGCAATAAAGGGGCCGCTTGGTAAGCCCAGGAGCGAACCCAGGAGCGAATGGTGTTAACATAAGCTTGTACAGTGCCAACTATTACCATCTTAATGGGGTTGCTCCTCATCAATCAGCATCCTGAGCCTGTGGATGATTGCCCCTGTTTCGAGGATGCGATCGCTTTCGTCTCTGTGGTTATGGGTACCACCCTGGGCCGATGGCATGGGTCTCAAGCGGGTTTGGACGCTGAATCCGGATTCTTCCATTCACTTACGCCTGGTTGGCAATTGGCGAATCTGAACGACTGGTTGACATTCTTTGGCTTTGCACTCCTCAAGATGCTAGTCGGCATCGCTGCTATCTTTCTGTGGCGACTGGTCATGAAAACTGTGCTCCTCGCTATGCTCCCGCCCTTCTATCGTATAATCTCACACGTGGTCACTCTGCCCACCCGAAGATTCTATACCCCAGCGACGTGAGTTTTACCACCGACATGAATGCGTCCTATTGATACATTTGCTGTCAGCCAATATACGTCTGTTCCCCAAGAAAACGGCCTTCACCTGACACCATCGCTCATCGATATCCCAACTTCAGAGCCTGGTCCCAAGCACAGTTTACATGCCTCAATAGCCAGCGGAAGCATTGCAAAACAGAGAGGGGCGCAGAATGGTAGAGAAAAGTGGCCTGCTCCTGTCAACGATGTTGAAATCAGTACGGATCGCTTCAACGTAGTGAAACACTATGATGCATCGGGTAAGTGTGCCAGCCTTTCTTCGTGGACATACATCTAACCTAATTGTCAGTCATAACGAAGGTTGTGGTCTATGCTGGAATCGGTTGGATCTCGAGCGAAATGCTCCCTGCCATGTTCGAGATTTTTGGCTGGGGTGTGAAGAGCGGAGGAAGGCAGTGGTTCGCGATATGTCTTTCAACCCGATCAGGGTCCAGCTCACTTCGATTCGCAGGTGACGGTCATACTGTCTGGAGAAGAATAGGCAATCTGCTACACCAGGCAGGCTACAATGGATGGCTCGTGCATGTTTTTGTTCGGATTTGTACGCATGGTTAGACCAATAGAATCCCGAAAATATCTTGCAGGCATTCACACTCCATATCGGCGTTTCTTTGCGTTGAACCCGACATCAAGAGGTCTGGAGGCCGCCAGGTCAAAATGTGGCAGAAGGCTTGCGACGCTGACCGGCCCTTGAACTGCGCCAATTTGGTCGATTCTTCCAAGGCCGCGGCGTCCAAACCCGATGGATTTGGTTCCGCCTTATCGCGGCCACCCCTTTGCCGCGTTGCCAAAGGCTTGCGCGTCCCTCCCCTGGATTAGGTAATACTCCGTTCTGGCTGGTCTTTTTCGTCAAGTCTTGTCGCTTCGTCTTCTCGATAGTCGCAACCTGCCATATTATGGGTAGAAGATCGTGCTCAATGATAAAATGTATTAGATGTCTTACACTAATTTAGCAAGCAAAGAGAGAGAATGAGGGATAAGAAGAAACACGGCGTGTCCTGCAGCTGCGCCATGGACGCTTCCAGAAAAAGGCTGTGCCATGGGTCTCCCCTTCCTCTATGCGGCGGTGATGCCTCCGCGCATGCAGACTGAGCACCACGCAGTCGCCCAAAGCACGTCGTCCCCGTACAGCCTTTCCTGCGCCCAGCACCACTTCTTCCCTTACCACCACCAGACCTTGGTCCTCAAACACATTTAATCCCCCAAGCACTTCGGCCCTGTTAACTCTTTTTTCTAATCCCTCCATAAACACCCTTCTACGTTCCCTCGATGGCGTCGCAAACCCCCATCTCCCCACTTTCTCTGCCAGTGGACTCCCCTATCGAGAACCTTTTCGACTTCGACGCTTGCTCTGAACCCTCTGTTCCCGAGATCATACACTCAGAACCATCTCCTCAGCTGAGCTCGGGTACTTCTGAACAGCTGATCACACCAACGTTCTCGCCCAGCAACGCCCTCCCGCAGTTCAACCCAGTCAGCAGCGATACACCGGATCTCCCGTGGCTCGACGAGGTGCTCGCCAAGTACAGCTTTCCTGATTTAGACGGTGGCTATAGCAATCTGTTGCTGGACGGTCTCGATCCCCGTGTGCTGCAAAACGTGAATCATACCAATAACCACGGTGGTAGGTGGCCCAACCATATGCCGTCACCAGCCCAGTCACAGGGGTCAGTCCCTGCTATTGATCCTCACCTGTTTTCGGCAGAAATGCTCTCGCCAAACCTCCCTTCCTTCGGAGATATGGAAGAGAGTGATGAGGAGGAAGAAGAGGAAGAGGAAGAGAATAGAAGCTCTAAGAGCCGTTTGTCTGCGTCTAGGAGGGGTGTGCCGTCCGGTGGCATCGAAAAGAAGGTTGCCACCTCCGGCAAAGGCAAGGAACTGAAAAAGGAGAAGAAGGAGATGACGTTGGAGGAGTACAAGAAGTTGGATCCTAAGTCGAAGCGTCAGGAGCGGAATAAGCGTTCTGCTCAGAAGTTCCGTGAACGCCGTAAACGTCCGTATTATCTGCCCATGTGTGATTCACCACGTCTAACATTTATACAGAGTATATTTCTCAACTGGAGGGCACTGTGTCGGACAAGGATCGCATGCTCTCCGCCATCCGTGACGAATTGGCCTCCTACAAGAGAGAAAATAGCGAACTTCGGAACGAGATCGCAACACTTCGCTCGGCCGTACTCGATGGTCGCGCAGCTGCAAGCAAACCTTTGTCAGCTCCACAGTCGGAGAATGTTCTCGTTCGCCAGACGCCCACGCCAATGCCCATGGTGAATCCCTACAAGGACATAACCCCCAGCTCAATGTTCTGGGGCGGCGCTTCCATGAACGGTGGGATCACTTCTGTTCATACGACTCTCCTTCCAGATCTCGCATCCAACGGAAGTCTTTCGGCCACTCTCGCAGGTAAAATGCCTCCAACCTCGTCCTTCAACATCAATCCTCTCCTCAATTCACCCCCACCTCCTTCAACTATCGTACGCGGATTGGACCCATTACCGAATTCCTTCGATTCCTTTGCAGAGGAGAATGCATTCAGTCTCAAATCAATCGATACGTACCGCATGCATTTATGGTCTCGCCTGGCGAAAGAAGCTGGTGCCGTGGATGCTCAGCGCGAGCGAGACAATCTGGACACAAATCCGACCATCTCCAGTCTCGCGAGTTCCCTTCGCCCAGCCTTCTTCTACGCGGAGGCACGGGACGAGTCCTCGAAGAAGGCTGTTACCAAGAAGGCACAATTGCCCACTCCACCATACTCGCCTGGTCCTGGTGCGACGGACGCCGAGATGCGACAGGCATTCTACGTTGCAACATTGGCATCTCAGACCCTTGTTTCCAAACTAGGTGCTGCTTTCTGGGAGGCATTCTCCGAGCCGGCAGGACCCGCTTCATCACTTCTGGACGCGGAGAAGGTGCGCGCAGTACTAGAAGGCAAAGCAGTGGTCCGCGTTGTCAAGGTGGAGGAGGATCCTACAGATTCTCTAATTGAGAAAATGAGCTGCATGTCCCTGAAAGATGCGACAAAGGAGGTGAATCGCAAGATCGGGCCTCGGTGTATCAGACCGAAGGATTGCGTTGCTTCGGTCCGTGGTGTTGGAGGGTTGTTCACACACGTGCAGTCTGTCTGGCGGGAAGCGCCGGCGATGAGACGCTAGACACTTTCGCTGTGGTTTTATTCTTCACTTCCACTTGGTGCGTCGGCGACAGCCGCGTCTGTGCCTTAATACTGCATCTCATCAGGTTTGGCAAGGCCCTGCCAGCCCCACTCATCCTCATCGACTGCATTTATTGATTGCTTATCCTGCTGTATTGTACTACCGAATACTGCGCAATGTTGACACCGTCTAACCAATAATGTTCCAGGGATTTTGCAGTGACAAGTCGATAAAGATGTCATGTACCTGAGCGGGTCCATCTCTTGATGCGATGCTCGGCGGCCTTGAAGCTGCCCAGGTGACTGTTGATCGTGACTTTGGGCTTGACGTTGGGCGACCTTGCAAGGTATTCTTGAGCCAGAGCGGCGCGGCGCGCCTTGGCAGCCTCCAGCCTCTGTTCGAAGATGGAAGGAGGCCGAGGTGCGAAGAAAGGCGAGGAATGGTTTGTTGAGGTAGGTGCAAGGTAGTTTGTTGAAGGAAGATCTGGCAGGGACGGGGTGGTTTGTTGAGGTAGAAGCTACGTGAGGGGATGGCGAGTGCATTAAGGTGGTTGGAAGAAACATTGCATCAGAGTGAGGTGGTGTTGGAGGGGGAGATGCGTAAGGTGGAGGTGGTTCTTCATAGAAAGGCAGCGCGTCCATGTTAGTGTCATCACCCTGCAAGAAAGAGAGGAGAAACAGATAGTTCGAAGATGGCAAAACGATTTATTGCTGTTCATCGCGCGAACCATCGCAATCTGCCCTAAGAACAGAGGAGGTTGCCTCTTCTCTGATGTCGTTCATCTCAAGAAGCGCATCGATTTCCAGGAGCACTTCCAGGATGCTGACTTCCTGACTCTCACGGAGCCAGGGGTGCGGATCAGTCCTGAAGTTGGCCGGAACTGCAGCAACACCCGAGGCGTATTGAGCTGGTGTATTGTTGGCTTGCTGGCTGATGCCTACTTGTCCAAGTTAGTAAAACAGCAGACAAATTGACTTCAGATTTTTTGCACACCTGAGTCAATAACCCTGCCACCTCCTGGCTCCCACTGCACTCCGCGCCTATCCATTGCGAGTCCTTCCAGCATGACACGATTGCATTGTGGAGACCTATGGGAATTCAATAAGTACCATCTTAAACGCTGCTGGGAGCGACAAAACTTACAGTTGTTCAGTTATTCCTTGAGAAGTTAGCGGGTGTAGTGGTGGTTCAAGCACAGGTGATACATACATCTAGAGGCTTGAGGCGATGTGAGAGAGGCGCTTGTCTGATCGGGATGGGCTTGTCAGCGATCGATATGTGTGACCTTCATGGCCCAATAGGTGTGGAAAGATAAGAGTGAATGGACGTGCTAGAGAATTGGAGGATGAGAAGAATGATATGAATAAGTGTCATGGGGGAGTAGGATGAATTGACGAATGACAGCGCCGCGGTGTCTGTTACTTACCCTGCAGTGCTACTCCGTGGAGCCCCGCACCGGGGCGAGGATGGGCGATAGGAGAAGCGACGATTTGACTGCGTGCAAGCCTGTGTAACCCGTGAAATGCTTCCGAAACACTTGGTAGGAGAAGTGTAAGTGTGTCTGCCCCCTCCAGCCCTTTCCCCCTAGTTGCCGTCCAATCGCAAGCTCGCTCCCCAGGGGGGCTGCCCTGAATAATCTATGTTGACGCATCAATCGTTGGTCCAGAACAGCCGAAAGGGAAGTGTGGGAGGTGAAGAAAAAGAGAGGAAAGAGCTAGACCGAAGCGAAAGGGCCAAGAGGAGAGGACCCCGCTTGCAAGGACCCACTCAGCCGGGAAGGACAGAGACACCCCCATCTCCTCCGTCGAGACATCCATCCGTCTCGTTCCCCCCTTCCCACCGACACCCCGGGGCCCTTTCTCCCTCTCTCTATCTTGTCATTATTTCCGTTCGGCTCTTCTTGCCTCACCACGCTTGCCTCTCTCTCCCCTCCCGTTCCTCACGCTCTTGCTCCTCCTCAACATCATCCCACATCACCTTTACGCTTTTGACGCCCATCACTCCCACCCCCCCAAACAGGTCTTGCTATCACTCGGCGATACTTTCATCACGGCTACCATCACCATGTTCACTCCCTTCATCAAACAGGAGGGATTCAACCCCGATTCACCCTCCAATAATTCACCCAATAATCCTCCCTCACCAGGACCATTCGACCCTTCACACTTCTTCGGTGGTACCATGTTCCCAGATGCTTTCAGAAACAAGTTCCAGGACAATCCTGGCGCCATCGACTTTGACGAGACCTTAGCGTCCATGATCACCGAGAACAACGCAGCTCAGCCGTCCGAGGTCACTCACCCCTTCGAATCAGGTTCGAATGATAGCACCCATTCCTACGACCCACCCCCGATGGACCTCCGTTTTCCTAGCCAGCAGGACATACATGCGGCACCTTCTTCCTTCGAGGCAGTCGCCCGGTCTTACGGTGACTCCTTCATTTCACGGCAGCACATGACCCCCATGGATACCACCTCTATACACAACGGCGAGGTCTATTACGACCCATCTTCCAACGATTACCTGTCGTCCTCTACCGGCATCAGCATGTCTCGCCTGCTCACAAACAACCTTCAACTCAACTCTAACGCCGCTCGTCCTGACACTCCCGGCTCATCGATAGCCTCTCCCGTCGACGTCAGTTTTCCAGGAATAAAGAAGAACTCGCCTCCCTCTCCCTCTCGTTCAAGATCGCGTTCGCGCCTTTCCAAAACGGCTATCACAGGTTCTCGCTCTCGCACCGGCCGAAAGCGCGACTCGATCACTTCGCCACCTTCTCCGCCCCTGATCACCCCTCCATCCTCTGTTGGAACGCGCCCTCAAGCGATCGTCATCCCTAACTCGGCGGCTGTTATTGGATTGACGCATCCATCGTCGCCATTGGGGCTCAACCTGCCCGGCCATCCAGCAACTGCCCCGAGTGGCTGGTTCCTACCGAGCCAAGATAATGGCTACACTCTGCCGCAGCATCCCCAGTCCTTTGCCCCTCAGTTCGGCGCGAGCCTGCCAAACAGTCAGAATATGGCTTTGAGCAATAACACCCCAGCACCTCCAGAGACGGTGCACAAACAGTGCGTTATCCCCTCCTCTTTCATCTACGTAGTTGGGCTCACTTTTCTTGAGGGCGGCCATGTTGAGTGAGAAGCGTCGGCGCCGGAGGGAATCGCACAATGCGGTGGAACGCAGACGGCGTGACAACATCAATGAGAAGATCAGCGAGCTGGCAACGCTCCTTCCAGAGGGTATGCTGGACCCAGCCACCAAAGAAGGGGAAGCCGCAAAAGTTGAGAACATGTTCTCGATAGGCAATGGCATGAGCACCGGTATCATTCTTGCTGACGAAGATGGCAAGGAATCACCTGCTTTGAAGGCCAACAAAGGCATCATTCTGCGTAAGAGCGTTGAATACATAAGGCAGGTGTCTGTCACAACCGGAATGTGTATCGCCCTATGCTCATCACTTAGTAGGCATCTCCAACAACTAGTGCAGGCCCAGGCCCAGCGGAATCGTGATTTGGAGGATGAATTGAAGAAGTACCGACCTCCTGGTGAAGCCATGGATATGTCAGCGGATGGCCCTATGGCTGAGTTGCTGCTTGCAAGCGGTCTTGCCCCTGAGCACATTAAGCTGCTGTCCGGAGAGGTTGATGGAGCAACATTACGGCTCTCTCCGCTTCCAGGATCACCGAACAACGTGATGGATACCACGCGAGGTCAGGATGGACGTAATCCGGACACTTCGCCTTCCGATAGGTCTGGCGGGCTCGAAGAAGAGGATGATGAAGTCAGCGGCGTGAGAGGGAGAGAGAGGGAGAGGGGTGTAGGACGCTTTGCATTGCAGAATCTGCAGCATTTGCAACGAATGGGCGCCGACGAAAGTGCTTTGAGTGACGGAGAGGGTGCGGCCATGGAGGACTGATTGGGAGCAACATCGATCTGGGCTGAATGGTTTCTTTAATACCAGGAATACATCTTCTTCTCTTTAATTTCCGTCTGTTTTCGTTATCTTGTATTTGTGCGCAACGAGAGTTTCGAGATGACTAACGAAATAATGAGAATCGCTATCCTCGCGCAAACACCATTTCCCGAAAGACAATCAACTTCCTTCCTCTTGTGTCGCGGGCACAACTGCAACATGTCCCTCGATACGTTGACGTCAGTATATAAAGCCGTCACTCGTCCATTGCCTGTTCTAGGCGTTCCGCCATTGGACATAATCGGCGCAGTTCGACTGAGCGTCGCATTGCGACAGATTCGTGGTATCCTCTCGGGGTCGTCAGGAAGCAAGACTAGACCGGGGATCGACAACGAGTTGGTGCGGAACATCTGGACCAACTGGACAGTAGTGTGGGGTGGGGAAACGATTCTTTGTGAGTGACTATGTACTTGGTGTGCTGTACCCATCACTTGACGTTGACGGCTGTCTCGTGGCCCCGTCAGGTGCTCTCCTCGCCCAAACGCCTTCTTTCCTCCTCTCACCCGTGTACCCTTTGCTTTTCCTGCTCGGCGAAGTCTTTGCATATTGCTGTCCGGTCCCACCTGCTCCAAGCCTTCCCGCCGAACTGCCACTGTCTATCGTGGATGCCTTCACCCGCGTTGGGCTCCTGACAACACTGGCATTCATCCCAATACTCTCACACCCCGTGCCAGAAGTAGCCCAATCTCCCCTCGCCTTGATCATTGCATCTACCCTGTTGGCTAATGGTGGCTTCTTCCTGGCAAGTCCGGATCACTTACCCTATTTTGGCCTTCCATTCATTCCTGTGGCAGGTTACCAGTGCCTCCATGCTCTCTCCTCAAGGTTGGAAACCTTCCACTCCAACTGAGCTCAGACCTTACGGTTGGACTGCCGTCGATCTATGGTCCGCTGGCCTGGTAACAAGCATCTTTGCCATCATGACAAGATCTCAGCCGTGGTGGGGCTGGGTGTACGATGTCCTGTTTAACACATATTGTGCGATAGCTCCCGGGGTCTGGCAAGTGGAAGAGGCGCCCATTTTCGACACAGACAAGGCCCGTTCGATTTGCCTTCTACTGCTCATCATTCAGTTCAGTGCAAGGGCCATGTGGAATCACAGTTCGCCTTGTAAGGTTCTTCTTTCCCCCCTGCAAGCCGGCTGTCCCTCACTACCCATTCCAGATATCAAGACATTGGGCCGGGCATAAAGATTCTCACTTGCATAACAAACGTGGACGGACAGTGCTCCCACCGAATGGATAGTAGAGTTGCACATATCGCGTGTAAATATATACAAAGAACTTATACCGAGACAGTCAATGAAGGAGCTATGTCCTTCAAAGCCAACCAGCATCTGATGTCTAGCTCTTCTTCACATCCTTGTAGTAACATGCATGACACTTTGACTCATTGTAGGCCAGTATCTCAAGAGTTATTCTCTACCATTCCCTCCCACCCCCCCCACCCCGTTCTCCTGCCTGTCTCCCTCCTGAACCTTTGCATATGGGGTGCAGTTGTGATAAATCATTCTTTCTTCAGTCAAGTGCACCAGCATTACCATGACTCCCTTCCCACTACTGTGCTCTGCCAACAAACAAGTAATCAGAATAATCTCAATAGCAATGGCAACAGCAGCAGTGACAACAACAACAACAACAATAATAATAATAATAATAATAATAATAATAATAATAATAATAATAATAATAATAATAATAATAATAATAATAATAATAATAATAATAATAATAATAATAATAATAATAATAATAATAATAATATATAATAATAATAATAATAATAATAATAATAATAATAATAATAATAATAAT